AAAAATGTCCTCGGGTGAGGATAAAAAAAAAAAAAATTCTTAAGGTATACAACCAAGAAGTTCAACAAACTCCAAGTAGGATACATGCAAGTAGATCTACTTCAAACACATCATAGTAAAAAAATGCTTTATCAGTAACATCAAATGTGAGTAACAATGCTATTAAATTAAAAGCATTTGTGCTTCAGCCCTGGCAGGTGTGGCTCAGATGGAGTGTTGTCCTGTACACCAAATGGTGGCAGGTTCCTTTCCCAGTCAGGGCACACACCTAGGTTGTAGGTTCAATCCTAGGTCTGGGTGTGTTTGGGAGGCAACTGATCAACGTTTCTCTCAATTCAATAAAAAGCATACCTTCGGTTGCAGGGGGGGAAAAAAAGCACTTGTGCTTCAAAGGACACTATCAAGGAAGTGAAGTAACTCCACTTAATGGGCAAAGAATGTGAGAGAACATTACTCCAAAGAAGATATACAAATGACCATTAAGCACACAATAGGATGCTCAACATCATTAGTCATGATGGAAATGTGGATTAAAACCACAATGATATACCACTTCATACCCACCAGGATGGCTATAATCAAGAAGATAACAAACAGCAAGTGTTGGTGAGGATGTGAAGAAACTGGAAACCTCATACCTGTTGGAGGGATTGTAAAATGGTATAGTCACTTTGAAAACCAGTCTGGAAGTTTCCCAAATAGTTACTGCAGTTATATGACCCAAGTATCTACTCCTAGACATCTACCTAAGAAAAATGAAAACATGTGTCCACCCAAGAAATTATACACGAATGCTCATAGCAACATTATTGCAATATGATAGCCAAAAAAGTAGAAACAATCCAAATGTTGACTGATGGATAAACAAAATGTGGCATATCCATAAAATGCTATATTATTTAGCAATAAAAATACATGCAACATGAATGAACTTTGAAAACATTGTGCTATATGGAAGAAACTAGTCACAAAGGAATATACATATATAAATACATGATTCCATTTATGTGAAATGTTCCTATTCTGAATAGGCAACTATAGACAGAAAGTATATTAGTAGGAATTGTTCAAGTATGGAGTAGTTGTGGGTGACGGTCAAAATGTATATAGCTTCTTTTAAGGGTGATAAAAATGTTCTAAAATTGAGTGTAAGCGATAACTGCACAACTCTGTGAATATACTAAAAATTGTTGAACTGTACACTTTAAATGGGTGAATTGTATGATATGTAAATCATATTTCAATAAAGATATAACAAAAAAGGTTTAAATATAAATAAAAAATAACTAAAATTTTAAAAAGAATTTTATTATGGAAAAACAACAAGGAGTATAAGCATGCAATCATTTTATTCTTCGTAATAGGTACACATTACAAAAATGTGAAGTAAACTAGCTGGAACCCCAATTCTTTTAAAGGATTTACATTTATTGAAATTAGCCTTTATTCTTTTGCAAAGACATAACCTTAGTTACAGGAGGAACACATTTAATCTAAATATTCATTGTCATAGATATGATTCAGCAGTCAACATACATAAAATCAGTTATATTAAACAGCTGTACAAAGCTATTAACATAAAATATGAAAGGATTCTTTAGAAAATACTTCAAACTATAAGTTTGGAATGCATATTTTCTTTTGATACTATGATTCCACTAAATACAATGGTCAGATGTTCAGTGTATCTCTTACGGAATTGCACATAGGATTATATATGTCAAGATTAAAATATTGCAAATTCTAAGAAACTCATAAACAGAAATGATTCAAAGATGCCTTTATGCTAAATTCAGCAAATCTTGTTCTAAAACGCTCTTTTTTTTATTATGAGAAACAAGGTTAATGTTTAGAAAACTTAATGGATGAAACATAGTTGAATCAAATATATTCCTCTGCAATTTTCACATCTAATTTTATTTAAACTGTTAACACATTCAAAAACTTAATAGTGAGCTACTATTTCAATGAGAAATTATTCAATTTTGCTTGCAACTTTTTCAGAGCTATAATTTTAATACATATCGGGATCTAAAACTATTAGCAAATAGCAAAAACCATTTATTTTAAAAACTGGACAAATAGAGAGAGAATATATTGTGATGTAAATCAGGAAGTAGTTATTCAACATACAGAATGATTCATAACACATGCTCTTTAAATACTCAGGCATTTAAAATAAACTTACCAAAAAAAAAATTTCAACTGACATACAGCTTTTAGAAATCCCACCAATTTTACAAAGAGAGGCACTAGTTTTACCCACAAAGGCATCAAAATATTTTAACAGTTCAAAATAGAAAGGGCCAAAAAATAGAAAACAGTTAAGTCACTGTGACCTTCAAGCAATTCATACTTTTTTAAAGCATATTTTTCAGCCCTAACTATAACACACTTTGACCTCCATTTCGGCTTTTCCTGAATCAACCTGGGCTGTGTGGGAGAATGCCACACATAGAGGCTTTGGGCGATGTGGGTTAACATCCTGACAAAACATGCTGCCTATATATACAATAAAAAAAAAAAGTTCTGAAGTACAATGCATACTCCCTAGGTTGTAAAACCTAAAAGTCTAACAAAAAGCACCAAGATACAGATACCAAAAGTATCTAACCAGCAGAGAGTCAATAATCACATACATACCTTATCAAGTAAGTTATTTGTTGGATAGTTTGGCATTTGGGAGCTAAATAAATGAATTTATTTAGCAAGCTAGAAATCCTGTCACTGCCCTTAACAAAGATTTGCCTGTTAGTGAAAACAGAATAGTCGGGTTGTGCTTACAATGAGGAAAATGTTACCAAATATTTATTATGGAAAAGAAAGAAATGGACAATATTTTTTTTTTTGGTGGGGGGGAGTAAACTTTGAAATAAAGCAGTTAAGGCACTTATTTCAATGGTTTTATAACAGCAAGGGCAAAGTATGTTTTATATTTCTTCAAGAAATTCCTTCCACACTAAAACCACATACTTTGCCCTTATATATTGTCAAATCTGACAACTATAAGTTACCCAAACAGAATTACTTCCAGAATTCTTAATTATTTGTTACTCCACAAGAAAATTAATTAAATGCTCCTCAAAGTTTTCAGTACTATTGTTTTAACTACAGTTAAAATAGAAACAAATAAGCTTATCTTTCATATCCAGTATTATAATTTCTATATTGAAGCTCACGTTTTCCTTTTCAACTGATACTGAATGAAAAATTCATTATTTAGAAAATTCAATTAAAAGGTTCTCCAAATAGCCCTGGCCAGTTTTGTTCAGTGGTTAGAGCGTCAGCCCGAGGACCAGTGAGACCCGGTGATTCTGGCCAAGGACACATACCTCGGTTTCAGTTTGTCCCCGGCCCTGGTCAGGGTTGCGCAGGAGGCAACCAGTCGATGTGTCTCTCTCGCATCGACATTTCTCTCTGTCTCTCTCTTCCTCTCTCCCTCCCTCCTAATCTGTTTAAAGATAAATGGAAAAATGTCGTCAAGTGAGGATAAAGAAAAAAAGTTTCTCCAAATATATTTAAGAAATAAGTTGACAGAAGCAAAAGCAACTTACTAATATGTCAAAAAGAAAAAACACATAACACACTAATTCAGTATATATTTCATGCTATATAGAAAATAGGCTGTTCTATTTCCCTTTCAAAATATGTAAGCTGACTTTTAAGTCACGTTTTACATGCTCTATATACTTAGGTTAAATATGGTAATATTTTTATAAGGTTTGAAGCTAAATATAAGTGACTCACTATTAAGACGTACAGAGAACCTGGAATACCCTGCTTACACCTATTTTAATATAGTTGTTAAAAATTACATAAAAGCATGAAATGAGAACCAATATGACTAATGCACCAGATATATGACACAGCCATAAAATAAGTCTTAGGCTCCAAAAGAGCAAAGCATCCTAAAGCTAGTCTGAGAATGAATGTGCTTTTGTACTTTTAAAATATATTACAGAAAATAAATATAATGGAAAGATGCTCCCTTCTAATGCAGAGTAATAAAATTGTAATTTTTATAGCACTCCAAAAAGAGAACAATTTGAAAACCTGTTTACTAAATAGAGATATAAGATAAAACTAAATAGGCTTCCCATCTTAGCCAAATAATCATTTTAGATTTTCTTTTAATAAATGATTAAAAAATATGAAAATATTTAACTTAAAGGAAGAGACTATTTAGACTGTGAACTGTGCTGCGAACTTTATAATTGTCATTTTGTTCTTAATGTTGACGACTGCATCAGTTTCATAAGTAATAGCACTTTTGTTTTATAATAAATATATCTGTATGCAGAGGTATGTTTAACAGCATTTGCACGTATCTCCAGAAACTGTCGCTCACTTTACTATACATATTTTTATTCTGATAAAGATTTTTTTACCTAATATTTCAGTATAAAACATGTGAATAGATTATGTACCCCATTTCCATATTTTTTAAAAACCTGAACAACATTCTTGTAAATGTCTGTTTTAAAAATATACAGGTAACAAGAGTTACTATTTTATCATGACTAAATTTGTATCAAATTTCTGAGCATAAATGACAAAAGCTAACCACTCACTGGTCATGAAATAATAAAATGCAGTATCACGCACTATATATTACTAAGAAAGTGCTCACTTATATACGCAACAGATGATGAGAGCAGTATCATGGAAAATCTGGATATATCTTTATATATATCCTTAAAAATAATTTTCCTTTATATTACTTCCATTTTAACTTAAATGCCACATATTTTCAGCTAACATTTGAGTTAGTTTTTTATAGTAATATTTCAGTTCTATTATAAACCATAAAATACCTTTAGAAACTTCCTTGAGGGTAAGAATAATTCTCTCCTTCTATTCTATAATTATATCACATTAAGTATATATTAAATGTTATGTTTGAGAAATATACTCAGGCCTTGAACATATTCAAATTCAAGATCAATATTATGATAAAATGAAGATTTATGAGGAAATTTTTATAATAGTTTAGAAGGTGAAATCTTTAAAGACCATATAACAAGAATAATAATACTTGGCCAGAATATTGCAGAGTGATAAGATTTAATATTTTACCAAAGGCCAGTAATGCTTAATCTTCTATTCCCCCACAGAACACTGGGTCCAGTTAATGGCAGCAGGGGAAAAGCAGCAGCAACACTTGAAATGTCCATATTCTGATTTCCAAAAAGATGCCACATTGGTAGAAGAAAAATCAACATTTTACTTCAGTTGGTATAAGTCTTTGAAATGAAGGCTCTGCTATTTTCAAGACTGAAAGGATATCACAGTGTTGATTTTATATACAAAGTAAGATCTGTTCCAATACACTCTAGTGAAATAATTCACATAGGGAGAATAGTTAATTTTAACCTCATGACAAAATCGCCCATATTTTGAGTAGGTTAACTTGTCACCCTCTTCACAAACCACCTATCAAGAGATATGAAACATAATATTAAAAAACTTATTAAGCTTATAGGATAAATAAAATCAATATATAAATGTCTATATTTATATGGAAATATATTATGCTAAACATCGACTATCTCACATTGTCCAGCAAACATCTCATAGTGTTTAGTAACCAGATGCCTCTTCATAAGAGTTATCATGTATACTAAACTTTTGAGCTTCCCATTGAGACTGAGAAACCAGTATAAAGTGTTTCCAATTTTTAAAAGATTTAATCCTAAAATTCAGAGGGCTATGTTTCCATAGGCCATTATTATTCCTCTGAAAAACTTTATCATGGCTGAAAAATGAACATATGGGGGTGGGGCAAAAGTAGGTTTACAGTTGTTCATATAGAAAATATAATAATAATAATACAAGAGTAAACTGTTTTGTGTACTCACAACCATAAACCTACTTTTGCCTAATTCTGTATTTTTTAAAAAATTGATTTTAGAGAGAGTAAGGGAGAGAGAGAAACATCAATTGGCTGCCTCCCACATGCACCCTGACTAGGGATCAGGTGGAAACCTGGTTATGTGCCCTGATGGGGAATCAAACATGCCACCTTTTGGTGCACAGGATAACACTCTAACCACTGAACGACATCAGCCAAGGCTATATATATTTTTTTTATCCTCACCCAAGGACATTTTTTGCATTTATCTTCAGATAGAGCGGGGGGAGGGGGGGGACATCGAAGTGAGAGAGGCGCATCGACTGGTTGCCACCCACACAACCCCAAACGGGGCCAGGGACAAACTGCAACCAAGGTACATGCCCTTAGCAGGAACCAAACTCGGGACTCTGATCCATGGGCCTAAGCTCTAATTGCTGAGCCAACCGTGGGCCTACGCTCTAACCGCTGAGCCAAACCGGCCAGGGATGAAGGATTTTCTGTAATAAAACACTAAATGTTATTCTAATGCCTACAAAAGATGTCAGAGAGCCAACTTTAAAAGTAAAAGGATAGATTGGCTTTTAAAAAAATATGTTTTTGTTGGTTTTTGAGAGAGAGGAAGGGAGAGATAAAAACATGGATGTGAGAGAGAAACATCGATTCGCTGCCTCCTGCATGCCTCCTACTGGGGATCGAGCCTGCAACCAGGGCATGTGCCTTGACCAGGAATCAAACTGGGACTTCTCTCAATTCACTGGAGATGCTCAATCCACTGAGTCACACCGTCTCAGCTAGGATAGATTAGCTTTAAGTCCGTGCCAAGCATTGTATGAAAGTAACCTGATCTTCTAAATGGGGCAAAAAGGTAGCCAAAAGAATAAAAAGGCTCCAGATAGCAATACAGCAGTAATTCCTGAATAACTGTGCTGTTTAATGAAATTCCATTTTGTCACCAATTAAGCCAAAGACCACAGATACCAAGTACCAATAGAGAAAATTCAAAATACATGCAGCAGAAAACAGAATAAGTTTATATTGTAAGTTTAAGGGGTCATGAAGAAAGAGAAAGGTGAAAATCATAAAAACTAATTTCTTACCTCCAAATTGGTTTGGGATGATAATACAAAGAACTAATTATTTAGGAAGGGACAGAAAAAATCTTGGCTGCAACCTAAATAGAATATGCACTCCAAGTTAGAATGACCTAATAAACTTTTCCTAAGGTCCCCCAACCTCAACTTTCCCAGGAGTAAAGGTACCCCTGCCAGACAACACAATCCCCTGACACTCTTCTTTGAAGGCTGAGAGGTAAGACAGTTTGGTAAAATAGCTGAAATCAATGAAAAATTAAGATACAGCTAAGTCCTAAAAACTAAAGTGGCTTAGAATACACTAGTTTTTGTGGATAACAGGGACTCAGTGTAAGAACTGTGATAATTTAGTAAGCAATTTTTCTACATATGCATCAAATTATAAGAAATTTCTCGGCCGCCATCAACAAATCATCAAACAACAAGTGTTGGTGAGGGTGTGGAGAAAAGGGAACTCCAGTACACTGCTGGTGGGAATGCAGACTGGTGCAGCCACTATGGAAAACACTATGGTGTTACCTCAAAAAATTAAAAATTGAACTGCCATTTGACCCAGTGATCCCACTTCTAGGAATACACCCTAAGAAGCCTGAAACATCAATCAGAAAGAATATATGTACCCTTATGTTCATAGCAGCACTATTTACAATAGCTAAGATCTGGGAACAGCCCAAGTGTCCATCAGTAGACAAATAGATAAAAAAGCTGTGGTGCATGTACACAATGGAGTACTATGCAACTGTAAGAAAGAAAGATCTCTTATCCTTTGAGATGACATGGAGGAACCTGGAAAGTATCCTAAGCAAAACAAGCCAAGCAGAAAAAGACAAATATCACATGATCTCACTTATTTCTGGAGTCTAATGAACTAAACAAATTGATGAACAAAACAGACCCAGAGACATAGAAGTAGGGTACAGACTGACATTCCTCAGGAGGGGTGGTGGTGGGGGGGAGGGAAAGGATAAACCACAGAACTTATATGCATGTGTTCATAACCGACGGACATGGACAACAAAGCTGGGGACGGGCTGGGAGGGGAGAGGGAGTCAATGGGGAGGAAAAGGAGAAACATCTGTAACAAGAATAAATTAATAAAAAAAAGAAATTTCTCAACATAATATAATATTGCAACAAGCTGCTCTTTAGATTTTTATGAGTTAGCCCTGGCTGGTTTGGCTCAGCAGTCAGATATAGCATAAGCCCTTGGACTGAAGGGTCGCAGGTTCAATACCCAGTCAGGGGCATGTACCTGGGTTGCAGGTTCTATCCCTGGCCCTGTCAGGGTTGTGCAGGCAGCAACCAATCAATGATGTGTCTCACATAAATGTTTCTCTCTCTCTCTCCCTCCCTTCTACTCTATCTAAAAATCAATGGAAAAATATTCTCAAGTAAGAATTAACAAAAATTAATAAATAAAAGCATCTTGCTCACTCCAAGTTATCATTAAAAAAACAAAAACTAAAATGTCAGCCTGTGTACCAAAGGGTCTCCAGTTCAGTTACCTGTCAAGGGCATGTATCTGGGTTGCAGGTTCAATCCCTGGCTCTAGTCAGGGTGCATGCAGGAGGCAACCAATCAATGTGTCTCTTACCATCAATGTTTCTTTCTCTCTCCCTCCCTCCCTCCTTTCCATTCTATCTAATAATCAATGGAAAAATATCCTCGGGTGAGGATTTACAACAATAGCAAAAAAAAAGGAAATAGATTATTATGAGTTAAAATAAAATCATCATTCAAATCAAATTATTCCATCTTTTTTTAAATACTCATTTCTTTTTTTCAGTATTATTTTATATTAGTTCCAGGTATACAGCATAGTGATTAGATAATCATATACTTTACAAAGTGTTCCCCCTGATATTTCCAGTACCCACATGGCACTATACATACATTGTTACTACAATACTACTGACTTTATTACCTAGGCTGTACTTTACATCCCTGGCCATCTTTGGATTATAAATGTTGAACATGCGTAAGTATAGGCAATGAAAAAGAAATCCATATATTGGTAAAAACATTTTCTTTTCCAAAAATATCCAACTTTTCTTTTATACATTGAAAGAATACTTCAAATTACTTTTAGTAAGTTCTGCCCACTGTCATACAATTTTTCATTATATTCTTAGTTAAATACCAATAATAAATTTTGAAGATTACAAGCTTAAATACAATCATTTTTCTCAAAAGGATTTCATTTTCCAAATGGTTACTTACATGGCCATTTGCAATGTCTAATAAATCTTTAACCCTGCAGCCTCTCATGGTTCCCACCTCATTGCAGATAGCATCCTCTATAATTAGGTAATTAGCTTTGTAAGATGTCAGTATTTTATAAATATCCTCAGCAGATCGCTTTGAATAGATTTGATAGATCTGAAAGAATATAATTAAAACAATTATTTTTAAAGACATTTAAAACTTTGGTTAATAAAAACTATACATTAAGCATCTACTATGTTCTTTCTTCTCTACTATGTTCTTAATATTGAGTACTATCTGTGGAAAATAAAGATATTCACTAAGACTTGATTCCTGCCCTAATGAAGCTTATAAAAGTACTCACATGCAATTAGCCATTTGTATATCTTCTTTGGAGAAATGTACACTCAAGTCTTTTTTATATTTTTAATTTTTAATTTATTGATTTTGGAGAGACAGAAAGGGAGGAAGGGAGGTAGGGAGAGAGAGAAGGGGGAGAGAAACAATGATCTGTTGTTCTACGTATTTATGTACTCACTGGTTGATTGTTGTATGTGCCCTGACTAGATCGAACCTGCAACAACCTTGGCAGATAGAGACAACACTCTATCCAACTGAGCTACCCAGCCAGGGCTACATTTAAGTCTTTTGCTTATTTTCCCCCTAGCTTTATTGAGATATAACATGCTAAGGGGCCCTGGCCGGTTTGGCTCAGCGGTTAGAGCGTCAGCCTGCGGACCACAGAGACCCGGGTTCGGTTCTCGCTAAGGGCACGTACCTTGGCTGCAGTTTGTCCCCAGCCCTGGTTGGGTCGTGTGGGTGGCGGCCACTCGATGTGTCCCTTTCACATCGATGTTTCTCTCTCTTCCTCTCTCTCCTTCCTGCTCTATCTGAGTAAAAAATGGAAAAATGTCCTCGGGTGAGGATAAAAAAATAAAAATAAAAAAATAACATGCTAAGGGCATGTACCTCCGTTGCAGTTTGTCCTCGGCCCCAGTTGGGGTCGTTTGGGTGTTGCAACCAGTCGATGTGTCTCTCTCACATGGATGTTTCTCTCTCTCTCTCTTCCTCCCTTTCTCCCTCCTGCTCTATCTGAAAATAAATGCAAAAATGTCCTCGAGTGAGAATAAAAAAAGATAATAAAAAATAAATATGGTAAAATGATCACCACCATAATGTTAGCTAGCACCTCCATCATGTCACATAATTACCATTTCTTCTTTGTGGTATGAACATTTAAGATGTATTCCCTTAGCAAATTTCAAGTATATAATATAGCATTAATAACTATAATTGTCACCCTGGCCGGTTTGGCTCAGCGGTTAAAGCATCAGCCTGTGGACCAAAGAGACCTGGGTTCGGTTCCCACTAAGGACACATACCTCGGTTGCAGTTTGTCCCCGGCCCTGGTTGGATCGTGTGGATGGCAACCACTCGATGTGTCCCTTTCACATTGATGTTTCTCTCTCTCTCTCTCCCTCCCACTCTATCTGAACAAAATATCAAAAAACATCCTTGGGTGAGGATAAAAAAAAAACCTGTAACTGTCATTTTGTACATTAGATCCCCAGAACTTATTCATCCCATAACTGGAAGTTTGTATCCTTTGACCAACATCTCCCAATTCCCACCCTCCAGACCCTGGTAAGCACCACTCCATGTTTCTATGAATTCGGCTTTTAAAAATTCAATATATAAGATATATCATATAATATTTGTCTTTTTCTGACTTATTTCACTTAACATAATGCATTCAAGATTCATCCCTGTTGGTGCAAATGGCCTTTGCCCATTTAAAAATTAATTCACCTTTTTATTATTGAGCTGTAATAGTTCCTTTAATCTTTTATATTACCATGTATCAGAGTATTTTATATTCATTCTATATATGAAATAAAGTCAGCAATGTTAAAAATAATTTGACCATTATCACAAAATACTGAATGAGTCAAGGATGCTTAAAACTCAAGTCTTGATTCTGTGGCATTTTTCATTACAATTTTTCTAAAAAATTGATTTTAGAGAGAGAAGAAGAAAAGGGAAAGGGAGGGAGGGGGAGAGAGAGAGTTGTGTTTCACTTATTTATGCATTCATTGGTTGATTCTTGTATATGCCTTGACAGGGGATCAAATCTGCCCTTATTAAATAATGTCTCCAGACATTGCCAAATGTCCCCTAGGGGCATGATTGTCTCAAGTTTGAGAATCACTGGCATAGGAGATCATACAAAAATCTATCACATGTTATGAATTATAAATAGTGTCTAATTAAAATGATATGGTCTCTCATTTATGGAGTTTGGTTTGAATTTTAGTTTAACAACCAATTTATTCAGTATTTGCTACGTACTAGACACCAAAGAGAAAGACAAAGGTTTGGAAAAAAAACAAAAAACATGGCTCCTATTCTCATAGACAAGTCACATAAAGCTTAAACTCCAAAATTTTTAAATTTAATTATCATCTCATTAAAACCTGACCTAACTATAAGAAATTCTGAAATTCTATATTAGGAAAAAGACCAACCAACACACACACACACACACACACACACACAGCCATGTCAGAATTGGCTGATTTAAATCCATAAAAAATAAAGTTCAGGAATATACTGTATATATTCTGTCTAAGCATCAATACAATTTTGAAGTGCAGCCAATACTAATGAAAGGCAGCTGTTGTCTCTCAGGTAAATTACTCTTAGGTTGACCTCCCCATCTCTGACCTTTCCCATGCTTTAATCTGTTTTCTCTGCTATGAACATAATGAACTCTCTAAAACAGATCTAAGCATTCAATTCCCAGGCTTAATAAAAGTTTTTGATAACTCCCAAAAGCTTCAAGGGTAAGTCTAAATTCTTCAATATGACACTCCAGGTCCTTCAGAATTTATCCTCTATTTTCTAGTTTCATGATCATAAAAATTTCATGGCTCATGTTACTTTTTCAGACTTAAATTATATGTATTCTTTTTCCAAAGAAGTTTCTACTCACCCTTTGAAAGCCAGATCAAGAGAGTATCCTTTATAAGACTTAGATTTTTGTAGGCAGAATGACTGCTACTGCTTTTATTTTGTATGTATTCTGCATGTTTATATGTATACGTGTATGCCCACATATAATCACACTCTAATAGTACATGATGATAACATAATGAATAGCTAACATTTATATTTTACTATATGCATATCAGGCAAAGTGCATATCTCATTTAGTTTTCACAACTACGAGGTGAGAACTATTGTTTCCAATTCAGAAACTTGCTCAAAATTACAGAAACTGAAGACACAAATAAATGAAAAGATATTCCATACTCAGGGATTGCAAGAATTAATACTGTTAAAATGTCCATACTACCCAAAGCAGATTCAATGCAATCCCAATCAAGATTCCAATGGCATTTTTCACAGAACTAAAAGAAATAATCCTAAAATTTGTATGAAACCTCAAAAGAATAGCCAAAATAATCTTGAGAAAGAACAACAAAATTGAAGCTATCATGCTCCCTGATTTCAAAGTATACTATTAAGCAATAGTAATCAACTCAGTCTGATAGTGGAAAAACAGACACACAGATCAATGGAACAGAATAAAGAGCCCAGAAATAAACCCACACATATACGGGCAACCAATTTACCACAAAGGAGTCAAGAATATATAAAGGGACTCTCTCGACAAGATAGCCAGGCTGGCAGTCTAGGCAAGTCCTCCCACCATTCTAGCCCCCGCTGCAGCACCCATCTCAGACCCAGATCCGGCTCAACCTCAGCTTCAGTGCCAGTTCCAGTTCCAATTCCAGCTCCAGCCTCATCCCCAGACACAGTGACAACAGTGGCTACGACTGAAGACCGAAGCTCTGGCCCAGACTCTGGCCTCAGCACCAGCACCAGTGCAATGGCAGGCTGATCCTATTCTACCATCTCCTTTCCCAGCAGCCCTGTGGTCTGGCTGCACCTGGTCATTTTGGCCTCCATTGTGGATAGCCACAAGTGAGATAATGAAGGCGCTGCCTAAGTTATAGGGACGGTGACAATCACACAATGGAAGTCACCAGTTGCTTTTCTTTTATTTTAAATATTTTTTTTCTTTATTGATTTTAGAGAGAGGGGAAGGAAGAGGAACAGAGAAATGGAAAGGAAACATCGATGAGAGAGAACATTGATGAGAGAGAATATCAACTGGCCGCCTCCTGCATGCCCTGCACTGGGGATCTGGCCCACAACCTGGGCATGTGCTCGGACTGGGAATCAAACCAGTGACCTCTTGGTACATGGGTCAATGCTCAATCACTGAGCCACATTGACCGGGCATCACCAATTGCTTTTCAATGCCACACAATGAGTCAGAAGATGAGGTGGCTGTTGACATGGAATTTGCTAAGAACATGTATGAACTGTACAGGAAAGTCTCCAAATGAGCTCATCCTGGGCTGGAAAGCTACAGGCCATGACATCACAGAGAACTCTGTGCTGATCCATGACTACAACAGTTGGGAAGCCCCCAACCCCATTCATCTCACTGTGCCTCCAGAATGGTCACATGTCAGCACTTTAAGGGGTGTCCCTGGGAGGACCATGGGGGTCATGTTCATACCTCTGACAGTGAAATATATGTATTATGACACTGAACACATTGGAGTTGACCTGATCATAAAGACTTGTTTGAGCCCCAACCAAGGTATTCAGACTCTCAAGTGACTCTCAGTGAGTATCAGGGTCATCAGCTCATATCCAGGATGCCCTAAGCACAGTGTTGCTGTATGCAGAAGATAAACTGTCTGGAAAGGTGTCAGCTGACAATACTGTGGGCCACTTCTTAATGAGTCTGGTTAACCAAGTACTCAAGATAGTTCCCAATGACTTTTAGACCATGTTCAACAGCAACATCAATGACTTGCTGATGGTGATCTACCTGGCCAATCTCACACAGTCACAGATGAGAATTCTGTAAACCTGCAAATGGGCCCCAGGCAGCACTCCTTCTATTCTGGCCCCAACTCTAGGATTCAGAATGGAGTAAAATAGAATGGCTTCTTGTGGTTTGAGTCACACTGAGTGAGCCAACTTCTTGTGACCTAAATAAACATAGCCTACCTTTTGTCAATGAAAGAAAAAAGAATATACAACAGGGAAAGGACAATCTTTTCAATAAATGGTGTGGAGAAAACAGGATAGCCACATGCAAAAGAATAAAATGCCCACTATCTTACACCATACACAAAAAAGAATTCAAAATGGGTTAAAAACTTGAATATAAGGCCTAAAACCATAAAGTTCCTGTAAGAAAACATAGATGGTAAGATCCTTGACTTTGTTCTTGGCCATGTTTTTTTGGATCTGACTCTGAAGGCAAGGGAAACAAAAGCAAAAATAAATAAATGGGACTACATCAGACCAAAAAGCTTCTGCAGAATAAAGGAAACTATCAACAAAACAAAAAGACACTTCATTGAATGAGAGAATATTTGCAAATCATATGACCACTAGTTAATATCCAAAATATATAAAGAACTCATTCAGCCCTGAGTGGTTTAGCTCAGCGGTTAGAGCATTGGCCTGCAGTCCAGAGAGACTGGGTTTGATTCCCGCTAAGGGCGTGTACTTCGGTTGCAGTTTGTCCCCGGCCCTGGTTGGGTCGTGTGGGTGGCAGCCACTCTATGTGTCCCTTTCACATGGATGTTTCTCTCTCTCTCTTCTTCTCTCCCTCCCACTCTATCTGAATAAAAAATGGAAAAATGTCCTTGGGTGAGGATAAAAAAAACTCATTCAACTCAACAGGAACAAAAAACAACTTGATTAAAAAATGAGCAAGGGTCTGAATAGATATTTTTCCAAAAGAGACATACAGATGGCCAAAAGGTACATGAAAAGATGCTCAACATCACTAATCATCAGGGAAAAGCATATTAAAACCACAATGTGATATCACCTCACACCTGCCAGAAGGGCTATCATCAAAAAAAGAGTAACGTGTTGGTGAGGAAATAGAGAAATGGGAACACTCATGCATTGTTGGTGGGATTGTAAATTGGTGCAGCCATTATGAAAAATGGCATGGAAATTCTTTACAAAATTAAAAATAGAACTACCATATAACCCAGAAATTTCACTTCTGAGTATTTATTTGAAGAAAACAGAAACACTAATTCAAAAAGATACATGCACCCCCATGTACATTACAGCTTTATTTACAATTGCCAAGACATGGAAACAACCTAAATGTCAATCAATAGATAAACAGGTAAAGAAAATGTGGTATTATTAATCAGCCACACACACACAAAAAAGAATAAAATCTTGCCATTTGCGACAACATAGATAGACCTTGAGGGCATTATGCTAAGTGAAATAAATCAGAGAAAGACAAATGCCATATGATTTCATTTATATGTGGAATCTAAAACAAACAAACAAACAAACAAAACACACACAAACATAGAGAACAGAAAGTGGTTGATGGGCAAATGGGTAAAGGGAGTCAAAAGGTACAAATTCCAGTTATAAAATAAGTAACGCATGAGGATGTAATGTACAGAATGGTGACTATAGTTAATAACACTGTTTTACATATTTGAAAGTTGCTAAGAAAATATATCTTACAAATTCTCATCACAAGGAAAAAATGTTTGTAGCTATGTATGGTGACAGATTGTTTAGATCTCTTGTGATCATTTTGTAATATACACAAATATCAAATCATTAATTTATATACCTGAAACTAATATTATGCCTCAATTAAGGGGAAAAAAAAGGCACTGTGGAAAGCCACCCCCCCAAAAAGAAAAAACTTGCTCAAGGTAACAAAGCAATATGTGGCAGAGGTAGCATTTGAGTTCAGATACTCTAATTCTAAAGTCTGCATTCGTAGAGTCTAATCTCATATTATAGTCTAACTCCTATGTTGCTATATGTCCTCCGTAGTTTATAGTATACTTTAAAAAACCTATATAAAGTTCTCTCGCCCTGGCCGGTTTGGCTCAGCGGTTAGAGCGTCGGCCTGCGGTCCCGAGAGACCTGGGTTCGGTTCCCGCTAAGGGCACGTACCTCGGTTGCAGTTTGTCCCCGGCCCTGGTTGGTCGTGCGGGTGGCAGCCACTCGATGTGTCCCTTTCACGTCGATGTTTCTCACTCTCTCTCTTCCTCTCTCTCCCTCCCTCTCTATCTGAACAAAAAATGTCCTCGGGTGAGGATAAAAAAAAAAAAAAAAAAGTTCTCTCAAATTGAAAAACAGAATATTTGGAACTCAGGTTTAGTCAGTCATTGTCTCCAGATACAAAGTTACCATTTAAATCCATACCAACATTCAATATAATACAGTCTCTGAACATTAAGTAACTAGATATCCTTCTAATGTTATTCTAAGTGTAACAGCCACAGTGTAATACACTTTTAGCTTGGAAATACAAAGTATATCAAGACATTAATTGACAGCTTTCCTTCTATAATTTGATTGAGAACAGTGATATTTTCCAAATTATGTTTCTTTGTGAAATATTACACATAAGTTTCCTTGAAACTTAGTGAAAAATTAAATGTTTCTCCAACAAACATATCTATACTATTCATAAAATGTTTAATATTTTAACTTTGGCTCTCCTCTTGGTTAAGTGTATTATACAGCTTTTTAGAAACAAATGGTAATTAACCCTTTTAAAATTGTTTGGCTTTCCCAGCTAATCAGGAACATGTGCATCACTACAAAACTATACTAAAATAAAGAGTGACGTTAAAGATCCAAATGTAGAATCTAAAATGCCTTACATTTTCATTTCTCTTCAGAAGATCATCATCATTATAAAAAGGCAAGCTTGTTACCATCCATCCAGTGCATAATTTAATCGCTCCCATTAACTGTGGGCTCCCTGCAAACACAGCAGCAACTGGAGCTTGTCTTCTGCAAAGAACCATAGAGATTTAGACACTGGAAAGGTAAATACACTTTTTAGATCTCTCGTTTATATCAACTCTGAAATACCAGGCAACTTACAATGTTTTGTATACTTAAGTTTCCATGTCATGTCAGCTTCGTGTCATTTCATTTATGGATTCATTAAAAAAAAAAAAAAAAAAAAAAAAAAAGAAGGTGGAGAGGACTTCCAGTCAAGATGGCGGCGGAGGTAACCGCTGTATCGCACCCTCCCACAACCAAATCAAAGTTACAACTAAACTACAGAACAATCATCATTCAAAACTGCCTGAAATTGAGCTGAATGGAAGTCCTACAACTACGGAATTAAAGAAGCAGCCACATAGAGACTGGTAGGAGGGGCAGAGGCAGAGGGGCTGGTCCCACACCCACATGTGGTGGATAAAAATCAGGAGGATACCTCAGCTGGGAAGGTTCTCTCTGAGAACTGAGGGGTCCCCATCCCACACCAGGCACCCCGTTCAGGGTTCCAGTGCCAGGAAGAGAAGTCCCCATAACTTCTGGCTAAAAAAACCAGCGGGAACTGAGGCTCAGGCAGCTCCTCTTAAAGGGCCCGCGCCCAATCTTACTCGGACTCTCTCCCTCTAAGCTTGGAGAGGCAGCTCGAGGGGCGCCAGAGACATACAGGGAAGAACTGAGCTGTTTGGCACTGGAGAGAGGGCTGGAGAGGGGACTTTCTCTAGGACAAATATGCTGTCAGAGGCCTTTGTTCCTTTGGTGAGCCCTTCCCTGGGGCAGCAGACAGCGGTGGTATCTGGGACTCCAGCAACCTGGCTCACACTGGTAGCCTCACCCTGGTGATTCCCTGAGGCCCCGCCCCACCCAACTTTCAGGCCCACCCAAGCTGTTGCCAACTGCTTAACCATAGGACTGGCCTGTCTTGGATCCTGCTTCCGGTTTTCCTAAATTCTTTCAAACAAGCAGCATCTGGACTCAGTGAGCCCCATACCTCTCGTTAAGTAATACATAGAAACAAACACAGGGAGGCAGCCAAAATGAGGAAACAAAGAAACAGGTACCAAATGAAAGAACAGAAAAAATCTCCAGAAAAAGAACTAAGCGAAATGGAGATAAGATAATGCTGAGTTCAAAATACTGCTTATAAGGATGCTCAATGAACTCAGTGAGGGCCACAAGAGCATAAAAAAGGACCAGTCAGAAATAAAGGATGCACAGTCAGAAATGAAGGAGGCATTAACTGAAAGAAAGAATAATTTACACAGATTTAGTAGTAGAGAAGGTAAAGCCAAGAAGCAAACCATTGATTTGGAATATAAGAAAGCAAAACACACCCAATAAGAGTAGCAAAAAGAAAAAAGAATCCAAAAAAATGAGGATAGTGTAAGGAGCCTCTAGGACAACTTCAAGCGTGCCAACATTCGCTTCTTGGGGGTGCCAGAAGGAGAAGAGAGAGAACAAGACATCGAAAACCTATTTGAAATAATAATGGCAGAAAACTTCCCTAATTTGGTGAAGGAAACAGACATACAAGTCCAGGAAGCACAGAGAGTCCCAAACAAGATGAACCCCAAGAGGCCCACACCAAGACACATTATCATCAAAATGCAAAAGGTTCAAGATAGAGAATCTTAAAAGCAGCAAGAGAAAAGCAGTTAGTTACCTACAGGGGAGTTTCCATAAGACTGTGAGCTGATTTCTCAAGAGAAACATTGCAGGCCAGAAGGGAGTGGCAAGAAATATTCAGAGTGATGAAAAGCAAGAACCTACAACCAAGATTACTCTATCCTGCAAAGCTGTTATTTAGAATCAATGGCCATGTAAAGACTTTCCCAGACAAGAAAAAGTTAAAGGAGTTCATCACCACCAAACCATTATTATATGAAATGTTGAAGGGTCTTTTTGAAGAAAAAGATAAAAAATATGACAAACAAAATGGCAATGAATACACATATCTATCAATAATTGAATCTACAAACAAAATGAACAGGCAGAACAGAAACATTCTCGTAGATATAGAGAACATTTTGTTGGTTGCCAGATGGGAGGGGGGGGTTGGGGAAATGGGTGGAAAAGGTGAAGGGAGTAAGAAGAACTAATTGGTTGCTAGACTGGCAAACCTCAAGAGAAGGGGGCTGGGGGATGGGAAGAAATAAACAAAGAACTTATGTGCATAACCAATGGACACAGGCAACAGTGTGGGAAAAGGCAGGAGGGGGCAGGAAAGGGGAGGAGGGGGACAATGGGGGGAAAATGAGGAACATCTATAATACATTCAACAATAAAAATTAAAAATAAATAAATAAATAAATAAATAAAATTGAGCATCTAATATGTACCAGGAATGATTCTGAGTACTGAAGATATAGACATTTTTTAAAAAGGGGTTGGTGGAGACAAGATCCTTTCTTGAAGACAATAAACATATAAGTCAGGTGGTAATAATACTGTTAAAAAAACAATGCAGGGTGCCCTGGCCAGTGTGACTCAGTTGAATGGAGTGTTGTCCCATTAACCAAAGGGTCACAGGTTTGATTCTCGGTTGGGGCGTATGCCCAGGTTGTGGGTTCAATTCCCAATTGAATTCCAATCGATGTTTCACTCTCACATCATTGTTTCTCTCTCTCTCTTTAAAGTCAATAAACAGCCCTGGCCAGTTTGGCTCAGCGGTTAGAGCATCGGCCTGCGGTCCGGAGACCCGGGTTCGGTTCCCGCTAAGGGCACGTACTTCGGTTGCAGTTTGTCCCCAGCCCTGGCTGGTCGTGCGGGTGGCAGCCACTCGATGCGTCCCTTCACGTCGATGTTTCTCTCTCTCTCTCCCTCCCACTCTATCTGTACGAAAAATGAAAAAATATCCTCAGGTGAGGATAAAAAAAAAAATAAAGTCAATAAACATATCCTCAGACAAGAATTAAAAACATAAAAGAAAACAATGCAGGATAATGGGATGTAGAGACAAGAATACACTATTTTATATAGGGTGATCAATTCAATGGGTGATACTCTAAATCCTCAAGTTCATCTTTTTGGAAATATTAACCACCACAATCCAACTCTCTCCAGATCCATCTATCCTTCCCTATCTTTACGACATATCTGTCTCTAGTAACACACGTAGAACTTCTCCACCATGAACCATGATCCAAAGTCTCAGGTAGATGCCACTTGTAAGACTAGGAAACCCAGACCCAAAAAGGTCTATTCTATTGTCTTCATTTATTTATTCACTCCCTGTATTCAGCATCCACCCACTGTGTAGTGGGATAGTGCCAACTTCTGGATATAAAGAGATAGCACACAGCCACTATCCTCCAGGAGCCCCCAGTAATGGGGAAACAAACATAAAACTGAATAATTACACCACAATAACATAAATGTCCAACTGTCTGATGTATAATCTCCTATGTTCGGGCCTTTGCTGTTTTTGAAAATACATATTATGATAAATCACACTCATAGATTAATTCCCTCTTTTGTTAATGGCAACACAAAGCTAAACATTCAGTGCTCCACAATGGTAAATATAATTCACAAAAAGTATTAATGAGGAGTATTTAAAGGTGATCTAAAGAAAATAAATTTTATATATAAACAGATATACAAGGGCTCAGTCGGTGTGGCTCAGTGGCTGAGCATCAACCCATGCACCAAGAGGTCACCGGTTCGGTTCCCAATCAAGGCACATGCCCAGGTTGTGGGCCAAATCCTAGTGGGGGGCATGCAGGAGACAGCCAATAGATGTTCTCTCTCACTGATGTTTCTCTCTCTCTCTCCCTCTTCCTTCCTCTCTCTCTTAAATCAATAAAGAAAAATAATTATTTTAAAAAAAGAAAAGGATATTTGTTCCTTTTATTCCATATTTCTAGATGTTTGATAGTGGAGAGTCTCAAATATCAAACTTATCAATGCTATAGCTTCAAAGTAGATGAGTTCAATTAGAAAATTAAAATGAAAAGTCCAATAAAAAATTAAATATACCTAAAAATACAGTGAAAAACGGAATTTTATGAGAATTTGAAAAAAACATTAATTTATTATTTCCCCTGAATCCATTAGATAGCATGCAATTATTAATTAATAATTTAAAAACAGTATTGGGCAGTTTAGTTCTTACTTTATCCAGGTCATAAGTTCCACTGTATCTGGATCATAGAATTCTTGTAGTTCAGTTAATTCTGTCATTAATCTTGGAAAAAACTAAAACGCAAAAAGAAAATCCACCCAAAGTATAAGTATCTAGAAAGTTTAAAACTGTTCCAAAGTATCTGAGAAAACTAAGAGACTAACTTAAACACTTTAACAACACTGTTCTTACTGAAAAAATGTCACGGCTCTCTTTACTTTCTTTCAGTGACCTGCTCAGTCTTCTCAACCCAAATAAACTATTTTATGGTTAATTTACTGCCTAGACTCAAGAAATAATTTTATAATTATCAAGCAATTAATCACCAGTTGTCTCTTTTATGCACACACAATTAATTGATTAATTAATTAATTAATTTTGGGTTAAATAATTCACATTTATTGGCCAGTAGTTTCATGTTATAAGCCAAATAACTTATATTATTTTATATATCTATATTTTAGAGTTGTCAAAATACTTTTTAATATTAATTCTGGTTTATTCAGCAATTTCCTTGCCAATTATAAATTGAATTAATGATAGTATTAGACAATAGAAAATTGCATCAGATGGCATTCTAAAAATGTTTTAGCTTTTCTATCTTGTCCCTAATGATAAAAAATATTAAGCATTATTATGAATATCAGACTTTGTTTTGTTAGGACAGTATTTCAATATAAGTATCCTACACACACACACACACACACACACACACACACACATCTACCTTACAAAGTACATTTTAGTACAAAAATCTAATTTTCTTACCTCCTTCCATAAGCTGAGACCTATTATAGTAGGCACAGCCATGCTCAGAATCAGAGCCTAAATTACAAAAGCAAAAGGGTTACAAATAAATATATTTCAGAATGTACTTTAAAATACTAGACACTGACTCTATGACCAAGCACATATCAATATAGTTATGCAAATTTCAGTCAGAGAAATTTAAGTCAGCATGACACCTAGTTCATGAAGTGAGATGGGTGAAGACTAATGATAAGTTTAAGACACATTAAGCTGGAGGTAAACTGAGACATAAATATTTACTATATAAATTTAAGGCAGACCATAAAATTGATAACATACATATAGTATTTCAAACAGCAAATCAATATTTGACAATTTTGCCAAAAATTTAAGTTATGAAGAGCATACAAAGGTTACTAAACTGCTACCTAAAACACTAATAACAAAAAGACAATGAAATAAACAGGAAAAACAGCAAATATAGTATGCTAAAATAAGAATATATCAATTCCTCAGGAAAAAGACTGGAAACATACAATATGACTAATATTAAAGATAGTTATTTATCATCTTCCTTGCAAAATCTTTCTCACTCTAGTACAGTATTAACTGAATGGGCTTTGCAGTCACATAAACCTGGGTGTGAATCATGATTTCCAGATCTATAAACTATATAATCTCAGGGAAACTATTTAACCAGTTTAAGCTTTAATTTCTTTGTCTGTAAAATACTACTAATAAAACTTGCCAATAGGGTATATCTGCATGGGTTGAATATTATGTGAAATGTTTTGAAAAATACCTTACACATAGCGAGCACTCAATGAATTAAAGCTTTCATTACTTTCATCCACCATAGCCTGTACCTGAGTGACAGCATCCTTCCTGGCTCCAGTCTGTCACCTTTAAATCTATCATTTACAGAACTGTAAGGGTGAGCTGAGAGAAAACTTTAAGTCTGACTCTCTCATACCCTGCCTAAACATCTCAATGCCTTCCTACTGCCTATAGGATAAAATCAAGTGCCACAGCATGACACTTAAAGGCCTTTGTGACCTTATCCTCCTTGACTTCTCCAGTCTCATTTCTTGACCACTCCTACCTCATATTTTATGTGCCAACAAAACTAAATATATCATGCTTTTCTTTGCCTCTGCTTTTATAGCCTTTGATTGCATCATTCATTGCCTACCTGTTTATTCCTTATACAACAAATACCCTTTCTTTCCCCTTTAAATGTCATACTGGAAAGTCTTAAAAATTGAATTAAGTAGTCCTTCTCTGTGTTTCAATACCACTCTGTCAATACTTTTTACCTGTTTTTATGACCAGAAGACTATAATCTACATGATTAAATTAATTATGTTTTATTTATCTTTGTATTCCAAGCACATCGCACACATCAGGAACAGTGTTTATCTTCTTTTCATACTGAAAACATACCAGAGTTCTAAATCAAATCAACAGAGATACAAAAATTAATTCTTGATAGCCTCTCACATTATTAGTTCACTTTCTTTCCTTTTATGTTTTAAGTGATCTGCATTAAAATGCATTTTTTAATAATCAAAAATTATTAAAAAATGTTTTTCACCTGGCCGGTGTGGCTCAGTGGTTGAGCGTCAACCCATGCACCAAGAGGTCACTAGTTCAATTCCCGGTCAGGGCACATGCCCAGGTTGTGGGCCCGATCCCCAGCGGGGAGCATGCAGAAGGTAGCCAATTGATGTTCTCTCTCATCCATGTTTGTATCTGTCTCTCTCCCTCTCCCTTTCTCTCTCTCTCTGTAAAATCAATAAAGAAAAAAAAATGTTTTTCACAGGATCTCTTTTTCTACCCTTAAGTTATAACATGATTTACTCATGCTATTTCAATGGTATTTACTGTGGTTTCCATTTACATAACTAGATGAGAAACAAGTACTTAACCTAAAATAACAATGACTCACCAACAATATAGGGTGTACAGTTCGTAACCGAAGCCACTTGAAAAGTGTCATCCATAGTTCAGGAGAACATACACCAAATGCTGCTAGCATGCATACATAAGGAGTCCAGAGGTATTTCAAGCTGGAAAAGACAAAAGGAGTCATATATGACATATCCTATGAACATTATTATTATTTGATTTCTCTTTTCTGGGTTCTTTCTAACTACCCATGAAAATACCACAATGTTAAGGGAGAAAGAAAAAAGCTCCGCCTTTAATTTTCAGTAACAGATTGTTATTCACTACTTAAGTAATCAAGAAGACATGTGGGTTACTTAAATGAGGATAAAAGAGCATTAATATAATGAGAGTGTAGCAAAATTGTACTCTTGAAGAGAATATAAACTTATACTTTCGGAAGGCGATTTGGCAGAAGCCATAAAAATTTTAAATACCTCAAGACAATCCCACTTCTAGTAATCTAGTTTACTAGAAGACATGTTAGTATAATTGTATAAAAGTATACATACATGGGTTTTAAATGCAGTATGTTGCTATAATAAAAAAAAATTACAAAAACCAAAAAAGCTAAATGCAAAATTTCATGTATACTATTTGTCCAGTTTTTGTTTGTTTGTACAGCCAAAAAATAACATCTGAAAAGATATGCTAATAGTGTTGATCTATGAGGAGTAAACAGGAGGATTTTCATTTGTTACTTCATGTATTTCTACATTATTTGGGTTTGAGATTAGTATTTTTTTTAAAACAAGGATCAAGAAATTAGGGCTCTTAAATTAAAAATATTAAAAATCCAGGTGTATATAAAAATGAACTTGTGCGCCCTGGCCGGTTTGGCTCAGCGGTTAGAGCGTCGACCTGCGGTCCGGAGAGACCCGGGTTCGGTTCCCGCTAAGGGCACGTACTTCGGTTGCAGTTTGTCCCCGGCCCTGGTTGGTCATGCGGGTGGCAGCCACTCGATGTGTCCCTTCACGTCGATGTTTCTCTCTCTCCCTTCCTCTCTCTCCCTCCCACTCTATCTGTACAAGAAATGGAAAAATATCCTCGGGTGAGGATAAAAAAAAAAAAAAATGAACTTGTGCAAATAAAAGACAGTACATTACTTTATGTAGTAAGTTGTAGAGAAAACACGAGGAACCCATCACCCTAGGTAATGGTAAAAGCTTAAGATGGAAGAGGAAGAATTTAGAAACATTTGTATAGATGTCAGTGCTTCATATAGATTACCAAGGAAAAAAATAATATTTTATAATAATATTCATAATTAATACTAGAGAGCAACAAGATCTTTCAATGACATGTCCTCGGGTGAGGATAAAAAAAAAAAAAGATAAATAGAAAAATATCCTCAAGTGAGGATTAAAACAAAAACCAAAGCCATTGTAAAGTAAAAATAAAGTGATATTCATTTATCAAATAACCATTTATTAATCATGCACTGCAGGATGACCAAAGTACTAGAGAGGAAAAAAGAAAAATAAGATGTGGCTATAGGCCTCGGGTCTTTTTCAAGATGAAATAAAACTGAACATATGGAAAACAATTAGAAAACAAGTATCTAAAATTTATGTAAGCTCTAGTGTTATGTGAAAGCAAAATAATCAATTTCAGAAAAATGTACTTAATGATTTTTTTTTATCCTCACCCAAGGACATGTTTCCACTTTTTGTTCAGATAGAGTGGGAGGGAGAGAGAGGAAGAGAGAGAGAGAGAAACATCGATGTAAACGGGACACATGGAGTGGCTGCTTCCCACATGACCCAACCAGGGCTGGGGACAAACTGCAACCGAGGTACGTGCCCTTAGCAGGAACTGAACTCAGGTCTCTCTGGACCACAGGCCGATGCTTTAACCTCTGAGCCAAACTGGTCAGAGCCTTAATGAAGATTTTTAATATATGAACACTTACGAGAAACTGAGAGCTGGTTCTTTGAAAAGATAAACAAAATCAATGAACCTTCATCCAGACTTATCCAGGAACAAAGAGAGAGGACCAAATACATAAAATCAGAAATGAAAGAGGCGAGGTAACAACTGACACCACAGAAATACAAAGGATTCTAAGAAAATACTTTGAACATCTATATGCCAACAAACTGGACAACCTGGGCAAAATAGAGAAATTCCTAGAAACATACAATCTACACTCAATCAGGAAGAATCAGAAAACCTAAATAGGTTGATACCAACTAATGAAATTGAAGTAGTAATAAAAAAAAACTCCTAGCAAACAAAAGTACTGGACCAGATGGCTTCACAGGTGAAGTTTTTGTTTTTTATCCTCACCCGAGGACATTTTTTTCCATTTTTTGTTCAGATAGAGTGGCAGGGAGAGAGAGGAACAGTGAGAGAGAGAGAAAAACATCGACGTGAAAGGGCCACATCGAGTGGCTGCCACCCGCATGACCAACCAGGGCTGGGGACAAACTGCAACCGAGGTACACGCCCTTAGTGGGAACCAAACTCAGGTGTCTCTGGACCGCAGGCCGACGCTCTAACTGCTGAGCCAAACCGGCCAGGTCCACAGGTGAAGTTTTACCAAACATTCAAAAAAGAATTAACACTTATCCTCAAACTATTCCAAAAAATTCAAAAGGGAAGACTTTCAAGCTCTTCTTACAAGACCAGCATTATTATAATTCCAAAACCAGATAAAGACACTACAAAGAAAGAAAATTACAGGTCAATATCTTTGATGAACATAGATGCTAGAATCCTAAACAAAATGTTAGCAAATAGAATCCAGCAATACATTAAAAAGATCATACACCATAACCAAGAGGGATTTATGCCAGGGATTCAAGGATGGTTCAATATTCACAAATCAATAAATGTAATAGGTCACATAAACAAAATGAAGAATAAAAATCACATGACCATATCAATAGGTGCAGAAAAGGCATTGGACAAAATCCAGCGCCAATTTTTGATAAAAACTCTCAGAAAAGTGGGAATAGAGGGATCATATCTCAACAAAATAAAGGCCATATATGACAAACCTACAGCCAACGTCATATCAATGGGTAAATACTAAAAGCATTTTCATTAAGATCAGGAATAAGACAGGGATGTCTGCTTTCACCACTCTTATTCAACATAGTACTGGAAGTCCTAGCTACAGTAATCAGACAAGAAGAAATAAAAGGCATCCAAATTGGAAAGGAGGAGTTAAAAACTGTCATTATTCACAGATGACGTGATATTATACATAGAAAATCCTAAAGGCTCCACCAAAAAACTGCTAGATTTAATAAATGAATTTGGCAAAAAGCAGAATACAAAATTAACACCCAGTAATCAATGGCATTTTTATATACCAATAATGAATCTCTGAAAGAGAAACTAAAAAAAAAAAAAAATCCCATTTACCATTGCAACAAAAACAAAAAAGAAACCTGAGAATAAATCATGGAGGTAAAAGACATGTACTCAGAAAACTATAGGACAATGAAAAAGGAAACAGAGGAAAATACAAACATCATTAAAATGTCCATACTACCCAAAGCAATCTACAGATTCAACGCAAATCCTATTAAAATACCAATATCATATTTCACAGCTCTAGAACAAATATTCCAAAATTTATTTTATTTTATTTTTTATCCTCACCTGAGGACATTTTTTCCATTTTTTTGTTCAGATAGAGTGAGAGGGAGAGAGAAGAAGAGAGAGAGAGAGAAAGAGAGAAACATCGATGTGAAAGAGACACATAGGCCCTGGCCGGTTTGGCCCAGCAGTTGGAGCATCAGCCTGTGAATCAGAGAGTCCTGGGTTTGGTTCCTGCTAGGGGCACATACCAAAAAAAAAAGAAAGAAAGAAAGGGACACATCGAGTGGCTGCCACCCACACAACCCAACCAAGGTTGGGGACAAACTGCAACTGAGGTACATGCCCTTAAGCGGCAACCGAACCCAGGACTCTCTGGTCCGCAGGCCAACGTTCCAACCACTGAGCCAAACTGGCCAGGGCCCAAAAATTTATATGAAACCAAAAAAAAAACCCCAAATAGCCACAGAAATCTTGAGAAAGAAGAACAAAGTTGGCGGGATCACAATACCAAATATCAATCTATACTACAAAGCCACATTAATCAAAACAACCTAGTAATGGCACAAGAGCAGGCATATAAACCAATGGAACAAAACAGAGAACCAAGAAATTGACCCATGCCAAAATGGTCAATTAATATTAGACAAAGGAGGTGAGTGCATACAATGGAGTAAAGATAGTCTCTTCAATAAATAAATGGTGTTTGGAAAATGAACAGGTACATGCAAAAAAAAAAAAGAAAGAAACTAGACCACCAACTTACACTATACACAAGAATAAACTCAAAATAGATAAAAGATTTAAGTGTAAGTCATGAAACCATAAAAATCCTAGAAGAAAAAATAAGCAGTAAAAATCTCAGACATCTCACATAGCAGTATTTTCACTGATATATCACTGAGGGCACAAGAAACAAAGAAAAAAATTAACAAATGGGACTACATCAAACTAAAAAGCTTCTGCACGACAAAAGAAACCATCAAAAAAATGAAAAGTGAACCTACTATATGGGAAAATTTATTTGTCAATAATACATCTGATAAGGGGTTAATTTCCAAAATATATAAAGAACTCCTACAACTCAACACCAGGTAGACAAACAATCCAATTAAAAAATGGGCAAAGGACCGGAATAGACACTTCTCTAATGAGGACATGGAGATGGCCAAGAGACATATGACAGAATGCTCAACGTCACTAATCATCAGAGAGATGCAAATTAAAACTACAATGAGGTATCACCTCACACCTGCCAGAATGGCTACCATCAATAAATCAACAAACAACAAGTGCTGGCAAGGATGTGAAGGGAAGGGAATACTAGCACACTGCTGGTAGGAATGCAGATTGGTGCAGCCACTGTGGAAAACAGTGTGGAGGTTCCTCAAAAATTTTTAAATAGAACTGCTGTTTGACCAGCAATCCCACTTCTGAGAATATGTCCTAAGAGTCCCAAAACACTAATCAGAAAGAATATATGCACCCCCATATTCACAGCAGCATTATATATAATAGCTAAGATCTGGAAACATCCAAGTGCCCATCAGTGTATGAGTAGATAAAAAAGCTGTGGTACATTTACACAAGGGAATACTAAGTGGCTGTGAACAAGGAGCTCTTACCCTTTGTGACAGCATGGGTGGACCTGGAGACCATTATGCTAAACAAAACAAGTCAGTTACAGAAAAATAAATATCATATGAACTCACTTATAGGTAGAATCTAATGAACAAAATAAACTGATGAACAAAATATGTCCAGAGGTATGAATGTATGGAACACAATAGCAGATCTCAGTCAGACGGTGGGGGGAGGGGACAGGAAGAGATTAACCAAAGAACATATATGCATATATGCATAACCCACAGACACAGACAACAGTATGGGGAAAGCCTAGGGATGGAGTTGGGGTGGGGTGGAAGGGGGCAAAAAGAGAAAATGGGAGACATCTGTAATACTGTGAACTATAAGAAATAATAATAATAAACATATATAGAACACACCTTGCTATAAGAGAGGAATCGCTTTGTTTCCTCTGATCAACCAGTACCGCCTCCTAAGTTCTCCATTTCTGATAATATCAACCTATTCTTACAATCAGAAGAATCAATACTGCAGTCTGGTTTATAGCTCCAGGAGATACCATGCACAATGAATTATATGTATATAATATCCCCTGGAACACAAATTCTCTGCTCTAGAGATTAGAACATTATGCCAAACCCACACATTTCTCTGTATCCACCCCTTATTTACCATGTTATTGCAACAGCTTACTAATTAAAATCTCTACCATTAGACTCTCCTCCAGTTTACCAAATGCCTAATGAATCTTCTTCAAATATAACTATGATAAGACACTTTCTGTTAAAAATTCTAATGGTTCCCCAATGCCTACTGAAATAAGTAAAAACTATCTAAATGGTTTTCAGCCCTTTATAATAGGGCCTTGACTTGCCTTTCCAGCTTTTTCTCCTACTACTTCTCTAAATATGATCAGTGTTCCAGACAGTATGCAGAACAATCTCAATACTTCCATCCCATAATGTGCATAAGTTTCTCCCTCCTGGTACAAATGCACCCCTCTCTAGTTGCTGCCTTAGACTGATTCCCTTTACAGCTGGACTCCTTGAAGTCCACATTCATCTTTCTGTTCTTACCTTCTACTCTCAGATCATGTCTTCCTTTATTTAGTTATTTATTTAATGGTAAATTTAAAAAGAATTTTTTTTTTCCTTTATTGATTTTAGAGAGGAAGTAAGAGGGAAAGAGAGAAACATCGATAAGAGAGAACATCAATTGGCCGCCTCCAGCATGGTCCCTACTGGGGATCGGGCCCACAACTTGGGCATGTGTCCTGACCAGGAATCGAACCGGTGAACTCTTGGTGCATGGGTCAAAGCTCAACCACTGAACCACATTGGCCTGACAATCAGGTCTTCCTTTAAAAATTTCTCCTTTGACCCTGGCCGGTTTGGCTCAGCGGTTGGAGCGTCGGCCTGCGGTCCAGAGAGGCCCGGGTTCGGTTCCCACTAAGGGCACGTACCTCGGTTGCAGTTTTTCCCCGGCCCTGGTTGGTCGTGCGGGTGGCAGCCACTCGTTGTGTCCCTTCACATCGATGTTTCTCTCTCTCTCTCTCTCTCTCTTCCTCTTTCTCCCTCCCGCTCTATCTGAACAAAAAAAAAAAAAAAATTTCTCCTTTGGTTCTGAGTCCCAGCAATTCCTAGGGTTCCTCCGCCACAGTCCCTACCTACTACTACTCATGCCATTTCCAATTCCTAAATATTTTAGTTTTGGCCCCTTTCCTCCATCTTCATTGCTCCTCTCTTCTAAACTCTATTGTGACACTTTATTAACTGGTTTATTTTCTTCTAATCTTGTTTTTCTCAAACCTTTCTATATTTTTGCTGCCAGAGAGATCTTAATAAAATGCAAATCTGCAAATTTCTACTTTACAACACCTAATATAGTCCGTTTACTTTTCCAGACATGTCTCTTGCTTCCTTCCTCTTCTAGTTTCCCCAAAATACTTCTGCCCAAATTGCATACACACAAGAAAAGTGAGAGCTGGGCCAATTTCTATTTCTCTCTCAATACTGTCACCCCATTTAGGAAATGTTCCTTAAACTGCACTCTTCTCCTTACCTCCACAACTAAGTTAGTACCTCTCTTCTGGGTGACCAAAGCACCCTATGTATATCTCTTTGATAGTACTTGTTTTACTTTAACTCTTGGTTTATTTACCTAGAATAGGAACTCTCTGAAAAGATACGACTAGATCTTTTATCTCTTTAATATTTATTGCCTACCTAGCAGAGTATCTGGCACTTACTAGGTAATTATGCATCTTATTTGCGTGAATAAGTGATCATGCTCTCATAGGCGTAGTGAGTAAACTGAAGATAAATGATAGAATATGAATTAGACATTCAAAAAGAATCTTGAAGGCAATGAGATGAAAATCAAAACATGAATCACTTACTATATACATGGTTTAACTTTCTTTACCCTACTTATTAGGCATTACGAAATGCTAACTATTAGAGTGAACCACTATTATTAATTCATGTTTCCATAAATTCCCACAAATCATGGGTTTGGCAGTCGGATAAAATATGGAGCCCTTATAAGAAAACATTTCCAAATGCACAAAATAAAATGTATGGGCTTACAAAGGAAATCAATTATACTAAAATATTGATAACATAAAAATAAATTTATTAACAGCAATATTTGTACTTCTTTAGTAATACGCTGAATGCAGGTCCAGTAAATACCATACTTTTTGAAGTAGTGAGGAATATACAGATATTTGTAAAATTGTAATATAATGAGAAAATAACCATGTTTTTTGTTAGGAAAAGCACTATCGGTATTCCTAAAATTACTGTGATTTAGTACCTATATTCATAATTAAAGTACATTTAACTTAGAAAACCTTACACTGGATTAATATTCTTCACCTTTCCCTATCTCCACTGTTAGCTCTCTACTTCAGAACCTTCATGGCTACCCTCATCAGAGTGATTTATCTGATTTGTGAATATGAGATAATGAATTGAGCATGTCCAGCTCAAACACTTCTAGGTTTCTAAATTTTGAATTCTGCAGGTTGTATGTGTACAGGTGCAGTAGGCTTACCAAGGCTTTGCTCTTTCAAGAGGTAAGGCCTGAAATTTGGGGATTAACCTCAGTATGGGGTGGAATATATTAGAAGCCCTTTTCGTCACACCCGAAGAAGTGTCTTCCAATACACCTTTAATCAGAATCAAAATTATTTTTCACCTCCAGCTAACTTATTTCTCATCTGAATGCCAACTTTAAAGAAAAGAGCATCATTTACTGTTCTCTTACCCTAAAAACCCCAACATTAAATAATCAAAGCAAATCAAGTTACTTTTAGAAATCCCAGAAATTAGCAACAAGCAGGGTCATAACAGTTATATAAATAAAAAGAATTTGCACTAATGAGATGTCAATCTGTGGAAAAACTTTTCTTCTAGTATTCTCAAATAATCCTAAACACATTTCAATCATAACTGGCATATTCTCTTTATAAAAAATAGGCAGTATTTTTTATTAACTGGGGTAATGATTTAGATTATTTTTTCTTGATCTTATACTGATTGCAAAAAATTTTTTAAATTCCCAAAAGTACAGAGGAATAGATTTTTTTAAATTACACAAAATCTAGTCACTCAAAAATAATCACATTGGGCCCAGCCGGTGTGGCTCAGTGATTGAGTGTCGACCCATGCACCAAGAGGTCTCCAGTTCGATTCCTGGTCAGGTTGTGGGCCAAATCACCAGTTGGGGGAACGCAGGAGGTAGCCAATGGATGTTCTCTCTCATCGATGTTTCTCTCTCTCTCTCCCTTCCTTTCTCACTAAAAATCAATAAAGAAAAAAAAAAAAGATAAATACAAATAATCAAATTAGCCCTGGCCCAGTGGCTCAGCTGATTGGAGCATTGTCCTGTACACCAAAAGGTTGTGAGTTCAGTTCCTGGTCAAGGTACATACCTAGGTTGTAGGCTGGATCCCCAGTCAGGGAGCATATGGGAGGTAACTGATCAATGTTTCTCTCTCATTGATGTTTCTCTCTCTTTCTCTCTCCCTTCCTCTTTAAAAAATCAATAAAAAAATATCCTTGGATGAGGATTAAAAAATAATAATATGCCCTCCCAAAAATGAGCCATGTTTCATTCCTATTACAGGCCTTTGCATATGCGTATCTTCTACCTGAAATATTCTTCCTTCTTCTGTTCATCTAGTTCACTCCTACTCACCCTTTAGGTCTCAACTCAAGTATCTTTTCCTTAGAAAGTCTTTCTGAAAAATTTCTTCAATCAAATTCCATTTTTATATGTTCTCATAGAACCATTTACCTCTCCTTTACTTATCAAAGTTATAATTTTATTTTTTTGTTAACCCTCACCCAAGGATATCTTTTCCATTGATTTTTTTAGAGAGAGTGAAAGGGAGGCAGGAAAGGGGAGAGACAAAGAGAGAAATCGATGTGAAAGAGTAACATCGATTGGCTGACTCCTACACATGCCCCAGTCAGGGCCAGGGATCCAACCTGTGACACAGGTATGTGCCCTTGATCGGAATCGAATCAGAGACCCTTCAGTGCATGTGCCGACACTCTATCCACTGAGCCCACTGCCCAGGGTTATAACTTTATTTTTGTGTAATTAACATCTGTCACCTCCATCCATTAGGCTATACATCACATAAGGTTAAAGACTCTGTGTTCACCTGTGTTCACTACTGCACCTCCAGCACTTAGCACAATGTTTGGCCCTTGGAAGACATTTCAATACTTTTTGAACAAATGAGTGAATCAGTAAATGTCAATTCACGGTACTATAAATGTTTTGTAAACTCGAGTTAGGTTAAGAAAGTTTATAGATTTTAAGTGTTTATAAAGTTTTACAAATATATTATTAGAAGTATCTACCTATTACCATTAGAAAGGACAATTCTTTATTAAAAAAATAGGTCAAATAAAGTACACTTACCCTTCTATAATCATTGCAAGAGAACCCAATAAAATAGTGTGAATCACATGATAAGTTATTTCTGGCCTTTCTCCAATTCGTCCATCCTCAAGAGTAACAGTTTCTTTCAGGGACTCACGACTACAGAAAGAAAATGTGATTTTTACCTAAATATATATTTGAAAAATCAAAGATCTTAAATTTCCTCATGAAAAGAAATACAGGTAGTGCCCTGGCCAGTTTGGCTCAGTGGTTGGAGCATCAGCCTACGGACCAGAGAGTCCTGGTTTTGGTTCCCGCTAAGGGCATGTACTTCGGTGGCAGTTTGTCCCCGGCCCTGGTTGGGTCGTGCGGGTGGCAGCCACTCTGTGTGTCCCTTTAACATCGATGTCTCTCTCTCTCTCTCTCTTCCTTCTTCCCCCTCCAGCTCTATCTGAAGATAAGTGCAAAAAACAAAAAAAACAAAAAAGAGAAACAGGTAGTTCTGAAAATTTGAAAGTATATTCTGCTTGTCAAGTACTAACTTTTCTATCTCCAAGTCTTTGAAAATGGCTTTTCGAACCTGAATGCAACTGACTCACTGAAGACTAAAAATGAAAGTTCAAAAGTACAATTTAAAAATAGTTTAGGGCCCTGGCCAGTTTGGCTCAGCGGTTGGAGCGTCGGCCTGTGGTACAGAGAGACCCGGGTTCGGTTCCGCTAAGGGCACGTACTTCGGTTGCAGTTTGTCCCCGGCCCTGGTTGGTCGTGTGGGTGGCAGCCACTCGATGTGTCCCTTCACGTCGATGTTTCTCTCTCTCTCTCTCTTCCTCTCTCTCCCTCCCGCTCTATCTGAACAAAAAATGGAAAAATGTCCTCGGGCGAGGATAAAAATAAATAAATAAATAAAAGATACTACTTTAAAAATAAATAAATAAATAAATAAATAAATAAATAAATAAATAAATAAATAAATAAAAATAGTTTAGGATCCTAAGATCAATTATCACTCAACTAGTGATTGCTAAATCAACATAGTTAAATCATAATCTAAACAACTAAGTTCTCAAAATCAAGATACTACACACAACCTCCTTTCAAACATGATAAACATATTTAAAAATAGTCAAACTGCCCGGCCTGTGTGGCTCAGTGGTTGACCATTGACCCATGCTCCAAGAGGTTGTTGGTTCAGTTCCCAGTCAGGGCACATGCCCAAGTTGTGGGCCAAACCCCCAGTGGGGGGCATACAGGAGTTATCTGAATGATGTTCTCTCTCATCGATGTTTCTCCCTCTCCCTCTTACTTCCTCTCTTTCTAAAATCAATAAAGAAAAAATAAAAGAACATTCAAACTTTATCATTTAAAATCATTTATACTACTAGCTTCATTAAGGATAAATAGAAAAAAATTATTCTTAAATAAAAATCTGAGTAAATTAGCAAAGAGAGTTTGTGAAAGTGATTATTTAAATATTACTCCTACACTAAATCTGGATATTACATGTTTAGCTATATAAACATAAATTTTAGTTTTACTTGGTTAACTTATACTTATCTTTTACATATTGATGAAGAGAGAATGAAATTAGAAGCTCTAAAACAAATACACAAATACTAGAAGAATATTAAAAGTAAGTATTTTTACATACTGTAGTTCCATAATATATTCATAATATGATTGATTCTCATAGGTACTTACTTAATTCTCCTGAAAATAACTTGCATCATAGAAAGAAAACAAATAATTAACACTAAAATATAGAAAGGTAATAAAGAAGACTGCGTCAATCGCAAAAAAAATTCTTGAGATGGTGCCTGCAGGGATTCTTGACATAGGAGCCAATTCATTGTAAAATTCCTATAGAAGACAAAAAGCATATTAAAATAACAGGTGTTTTAAACTACTGACCATAAAAGTATTTTTTATCTCAGTAGAAACTTAGATAAAACAGAACACATTTCTTAAATCCATTCACTTATAACAGCCAGATCCTACCCTTTACAAAGGAAGATAACAGTATTTGTAAACTCACCTCAACAAATTGCTCTAATAAATGTAAAACTCCTGCTATTTTTTTTTTTTACCAAGTAATGCTACCATCTCTACAGCTCAATACAGTTTCAAGTGAGTTTCACTTTCTATTTTTCCTGAAAGACAATAAAAAATTTAGCTACCCAACCTCTACATCTGCACTATCCACTATGTTAACTACTAGGTACATGTGGCTATTAGCATTTGAAATGTAGCCAAAATACACCCTGGATTTCAAAGATTAAAAAATTTTGTAATCTCAGTGATTTTTTATATTGTTTATACATTAAAATAATATTTTTAATATACTGGATGAAATAAAATATATTATTAGAATTCAATTCACTTGTTTCTCTTTACCTTTTTAAAAAATTGATTTTAGAAAGAGAGGAAGGGAGAGGGAGAGAGAGATAGAAACATTGATGAGAGAGAACATCAACTGGCCACCTCCTGCATCCCCCCCACTAGAGATTTGATCCACAACCTGGGCATGTGCCCTTACTGGGAATCAAACCACTGAGCCACACCAGCTGGGCTCTCTTTACTTTTTAAATGTGGCTACTAGAAAATTACCTATGTGGCTCACATTATTATTAGAGAGCCCTACTGATATTAACAAATGTAACTCAACTGGGACCTCTTTTAAAAAAGAGATATCTAGCCTGGCCAGTGTGCCTCAGAGCATCATCCCATGGACTAAAAGGTCCCTGATTCGATTCCTGGTCAGGGTACATGCTCAGATTGTGGGCTCAATACCCAGTAAGAGGCGTGCAGGAGGCAGCCAACCAATTGTTTCTATCTCTCTCTCCCTTCCTTTCTCTCTAAAAAATATAAATAAAAATGTATTTTTTTAAAAATATATCTAATTACTAAGACAGAAATCATAAAATTTGAAATGTAAAATTTTGAGCTATGAGAATCAGGATAACCTTTTTTTTACCCTCAGCAAAATATGAGCAATAAGACTCTTAGTTATACGTAGTTTTATCTGCATTCTCACCCCCGTTCCATCTCCAAGTTCTGTGTTATCCTTAATCCCTAGCCCTGGGGAAGGAGGTAAGAGATGAAGTAATGTTCAGGAGTGCTTATGGACCAATGGAGAATGCCTGCTTCACAAATCACTGGATTTAGAATAAAAGGTTAAAGTTTCACAATGTGTCAAACAGCAATACAGCTGTTTCAAAGAGGCTGCCATCAAAATATCTTGTACTTGTCATAAATGCAAAAATTTTTTAAATGTTTATTTATTTATTGTTTTGGTACGTTCCCCTGGTGGGAACCGAACCACAAGACTCTGTGGATCAGAACTCTGATCCACAGGCCGATGCTCTAACCACTGAGCCAAACCAACCAGAGCATAAATGCAAATTTTTTAAAAATCTGCCTATTAAAGTTTTTAATTCTATAAAGGTCTAATTCAAATCCCAATTTAACAAGTATTCTTTCCATATCTGCTGTCTCAACTTTTCCTTCTCAATATTCCCACAGCACTTATCCTTCAATTATAGTCCTTACTGCAACCTGCCATATGTTAGATTCTAGTCATTTTTGTAACCCCCAGAGAACCTGGCCTAGTATCCTGCACATCCAACAAATATTTATTAACATTTGCTTTAAAAAATTTTTTTTTTCCTTTATTGATTTTAGAGAGAGAAAGTGAGAGGGAGAGAGAGACAGAAACATTGATGAGAGAAAACATCGACTGGTCACCTCCTGCATGTTCCCCACTGGGGATCAGGCCCACAACCTGGGCATATGTCCTGACTGGGAATTGAACCGGCGACCTCTTGATGCATGGGTTGATGCTCAACCACTGAGTCACACCAGCCGGACCATGTCTTATTCTTAAAATACATAGTACATTACCTTGTGAAGTAAATCTAGAACCTGACTTGCTAAGTAAAAGGGCACTACATAACATCAATTCAAATACTATTCTTGAATTTAAAAAGTCAGCTTCTCCAATCCACTGTTACAACCCCAAGATGATATTATTTGGTATGAAATAAATATCTTACTGCCTACCCACTTTTTTGTGCCCATACCCTTTTTAACATAAGCTTTTGCTGATGCAGTGGTTAAAATAACCTTGGTTCTTTATTCATTTTAAATCTTTCATTTAATCTGACCTTAGATGATATCATTGTTCCTTATCAAGAGAGAAAGCAACCTCAAAATACTTTGACGTTGTTAAGGTTTAAGTATATCTAATTTCAAAAAGACCTAATGAGAATTTTTTTTTATCCTCACCTGAGGACAGTTTTGCATTTATCTTCAGATAGAGTGGTAGGGAAAGAGGGAGGAAGAGAGAGAGAGAAACATCGACGCAAGAGAGACACGTCGGGTGGCTGCCACCCACATGACCCCAACCAGGGCCAGGGACAAACTGCAACCAAGGTACATGCTCTTAGCGGGAACTGAACCCGGGCCTCTCTGGTCCACAGGCTGATACTCCAACCGCTGAGCCAAACCAGCCAGGGCGAGAATATTTTTTAAAGATAAAAAAATTAATGTCAGATTTCTTCTAGATCTACTATCACAAATTATTTATTTTCTAAGTGGTATTTAATTAGGTGTATACTTCCTCCTTTGATTATGTTTGTTCTTTATCTTTTAAGTGGTACAGAGTTAGGTAAACTTAAATAATCTGAAACTTACTTAGTTATATTTAGTCCAAATTTTACTTCAAGGAATTTCAGCATGTGCCCATTTTCTTTGTGTGGGACAAACGTCTAGGAGGGGAAAAACACTAGTTACAACAAAGAACGATTAGCTATACTTATAGCAATATGCTATTGTCCAATACTACAAACAGAAAACACAGCAAGACTACAAAACAATAAATATGAATGAAATAATACATAGTGTAACTTTGAAGTAAGGAGATCTACTAGCATAAGGCCATCACATCATGTTATACTTAAGCATAAAACTAAAATAGGGTAGTAAGAGTTCAACTGTATCCACCTGGCTTAAGTAAATTACCCATTCTTCAGAACATATTTGACCCATCTCAATTTATTCCATATATTATTTAATGTTAATTGCATAATAATGATACTTCAAGTTAAATGGAAAATATACTAGATGTATTTTTAAGGTATAGCTAGAAAAGAATCATAATCCTATTTTCTCACTTAATATGCTAGGTATGATCACTGGTCAACTCAAAATTTTACTGTACAAACTCTATTATCTTGCTATCTCATTACTCTCATAAAAATTTAATCCACTTGCCTGGTCAGTGTGGCTTAGTGGTTGAGCATCAACCCACGCCCCAAGAGGTCACTGGTTCAATTCTCAGTCAGGGCATATGCCCGGGTTGCGGGCTCAATCCCTAGTAGGGGGCGCGCAGGAGGTGGCCAATTGATGTTTCTTTCTCATTGATGTTTCTATCTCTCTTTTCCTCCATCTCCCTAACTCTCTAAAAAAATCAATAGGCTTTTTCCTTTTTGTTTTAATTCCTTACCTGAGGACATTTTTCTATTTATTATTAGAGTGGGAGGGAGGAAGAGAGAGAAACACTGATGTGATAGAGTCACATCGACTGGTTGCCTCCTGCATGAATGAACCGCAACCGAGGTAGGTGCCCTTGACCAGAGTCGAACCCGGGACGCATTGGTCTGCGGGTCGATGCTCTAACCGCTGAGCCAAACTGGCCAGGGCAGTAAAACGTATTTAAAAAAAATTTTAGTCCAACTATATTACATTATATAATTTGTTCTACTACCTGTATCTCAAACACAGTTACTTACCTTCATTATAATATTCAATGTCACTGTCAGAGTACACGCCAAGTAAAAATTAATAGCTTTCATTATTTTAGCTACAATTCCCTTCTTCACATTTAGCTGTGGGGGGGTGAGGTGGGGAATCAAATAAACAAAGAAGTGAGGTACAAAATATTAACAATTTAAAAATTCACCATAAGAATTATAAAAAGGCAGTTCTAATTACCTGAAGGCACTTAATAAGCATTAAGGCTACTACTAAACTTAATAAAGGAGATACCAATAAAGCTGAATTCTCAAACTGCAGCAAATATCCCAGAAAGAGAGAAAATATATAGATTTTATAAACTTCATGAACCTGTTGGGACAAAAATAAGATGAGTAAGAATAAAGTAAACTTTATTGTACATATTTTCATTAGTTTTGTTTAGAGTAGATTCTACTGTAATTACAAAGTAAATGCTCTACTATAATTTAGGACAGTACAGTCATCCCTTGCCACTTTAAAAAACCGCAACAGCCCTGGCCGGTTTGGCTCAGCGGTTAGAGCGTCTGCCTGCGGTCCGGAGAGACCCGGGTTCGGTTCCCGCTAGGGGCATGTACCTCGGTTGCAGTTTATCCCCGGCCCTGGTTGGTCGTGCAGGTGGCAGCCACTCGATGTGTCCCTTTCACATCGATGTTTCCCTCTCTCTCTCTTCCTCTCTCTCCCTCCCACTCTGTCTGTACAAAAAATGGAAAAATGTCCTCGAATGAGGATAAAAACAAAAAACAAAAAAAACCGCAACAGAGTGAAGCTGCGAAAGTCGAAGCGCCAAGTGGTGAGGGACAACTGTATATAAAAAAAGAATCCTATTTCACGGAAATTCATTTATCATGGTAGAGTCTGGAACTGATTAACCACGATAAACAAGGGCCAACTGTATTGTGCAAATGTTCAATTCATTTTTTAATGTTATGATACGTAATTAATATCATGTCCTTCTCCCCATAATGTACGAAGACAGAGGGAGAGGGCTCCAGCCACTTTGGTTTCATGTCTTCGGTGCCGACGGTTTCCAGTCCGCCAGTTCTATCCTCAAGTGCTGGGACATGAGTCAAAAAAAAAAATCAAGTTTTTCTTAGAAAGAATTCTTGCAACCAAAGCTAAAAACTTCAAAACCACAGACATCTAAATCATACTGGAAGAACCTTCTGTAGTCCCAGGCTCTGACTTAATTTCGCTCGGCTTACTTTGTTATTAAAATTTATCTATGCAACATCAAACTACATAACTCCAAAATCATAATCTTTAGCAGCAGTTCCCAAAATCTACCCAGTGAAAATATACTGCCATGACATGTACCACCAGAGAAAAGTATTTTTGCATTTGGTCCATTTAACAATGAGCGTAAGAAAGTTAAATTCAATGTCCTAATAGAAGATATCCCAAAAAAAAAAAAAAAAAAAAAGAAGATATCCCAGGAAAATTATATGTCTTAGATTTATTTTCTTAAATTCAATAGTATAATAATTTAATCTATCATAAAATTAATTCATTTTAGAGAGAAAAAATGAAGGCAAAGCATAGGTGTTGGGGAAGGGAAATGAAAAGGCAGAGTGTTGCCTGGCCAGTGTGGCTCAGCGGTTGAGCATCAACCCATGCACCAAGAGGTCACCAGTTTGATCCCTAGTCAGGGCACATGCCCAGGTTCTGGGCCCAATCCCCAGTGGGGGGCATGAAAGAGGTGGCCAATCAATGTTCTCTTGCATCAATGTTTCTATCTATCTCTCCTTCTCCCTCTCTCTATAAAAATCAATAAAGGAAAAAACAAAAATTTTTAAAGGCAGAGTGTTAAAAGTAAAAAGATAAAAAACAGAAAGAAGAAAATTCCTAAGAGGCCAGACCATGTAAATAAAAAGACATCTCACTGTTGGGAGACTAAAGCAATGACTGGGAGATAGCACAATGGGATCTTCTAGGCACTGATCTCACACACACACACACACACACACACACACACATACACACACACACAGCACAATGGGATCTTCTGGACACTGAACACACACACACACACACACACACACACGTACGTTCTACCGATATTGAGTAATTGTCTCTTAGCTCCAAATTTCTCTCTCTATCCTTTGCCTCATAATGCTGGGGCTGGGACTCTGAAATCTACATTTCTGCTTTTCTGTTTGGTTCCCTATTATGCTCTGCCAATACCAAATGTAAGAGAAATGACAAGATTAGAGGAAAAATAAAGGAGCTTGTTCGTTCCTATCACTTCCTATCTGCTTACAGTTCCTGTAAGCATCACCTCAATGATGTTTCTTCACTCCAAAGAGCAATTACTTCCTGTGGAAGCCACTGAATGATGCTGAAGTTTTCCAACCCTTGATAAACCAGCTTTTATCTTGCCCCAGAGAGGGGCTCTATTCTCAGAGGTCTGGGTCTCATTTCCACACAGTCCTTCTTACCAGTTCAAAGACACACCAACAAAGCTGAATAGTAGGCCTTCCTCAGAGGCTGAGTTTCAGCTCCACAAGGTCCCTCCTCTGGGTTTAAGTTTTAATAATGCTAAATTCTTCCTTTGCTGATTCAGCTCTAGGGGTGGTAACTGCTTCTTACAATTGCTACCTCTATGATACTTTCAGGTTCTTACTGACCTTTCAGTTAGCAAGTGAACAACTTTATACTTGGTTGATGATTCTTTATATTAAACTTTCTCTATTTCAGTAACCTAAATGTTGATACTCATCAGGATTTTGGACCACCGAGTATATGGGATGAAGAAAAGGAAGGAGAAAAGCAAGAAGATTCTTAAAATCTGGGTTGGACAATATATTAAATACTTAATAAAGGTTTGAAATAGGAAAAGATAAGAAATGGCCAAAAAGAAAAAGTTAAAAAAACAGAAGGAACCAAATATTGAGGGGAATCTTTCACAACCTTTGGTAACAGTATAAACTGATAGAGCCACTCTGGAAAAAGACCTGATATCTAGTTAGATTGCATATGCACATATGCTTTGACTAGAAATTTGTTATGAAGTATATATTCTAGGGAGACCTTGCACTTATGTGCCACATGACATGTATAAGAATGCTTATAGCAGCACATGAACAATAAATGAAAAAAAAAAAACTGAAATATCCAACAACAGAAAGTACAAATAAATACAAATGAATAAAAAATATAGCTCAGTACATCACCATGGATGAATCTTAAAAGCAAATGAGGTAAAAATACACAATTAGTTACAACATATTTTTTTTAGGAATACATAGATAAGTGGTAAAAATCATAAAGAAAAAGAGAAAAGAATTAATAAGATTCAGGACAGTTGGCCTCTGTTGGGAAGAGAACTGGCTATGACAAGGGAAGAGTTATAAAGGGGCTTCCAGGGTATTTAAATGTTCCACTTCTTGGTCTAAGTGGTCAAATAAGCACACACATACTCTTCTGTACATATCCTATATTTCACTTTTCTTTCTTTCTTTTTCAATCCTCATCCGAGGACATTTTTCCATTTTTTGTACAGACACAGTGGGAGGGAGAGAGAGGAAGAGAGAGAGAGAGAAACATCGATGTGAAAGGACACATCGAGTGGCTGCCACCCGCACGACCAACCAGGGCCGGGGACAAACTGCAACCGAGGTACATGCCCTTAGTGGGAACCGAACCCGGGTCTCTCTGGACTGCAGGCAGACACTCTAACCGCTGAGCCAAACCGGCCAGGGCTCACTTTTTTTTCTTTTTAAAGAAACATAAATGGAAGAAGAAATGGCTGGAAATGGAGAGGAAGCACATGGTGACTTTGGTTAAGCAGATCAGGTTTAAAGTAATATCAAAGTGCTTCTAAAAAGAATAGAGGAGATGAATTTAACCATCTTTTGAGAAGTATAAATCAGAGCCTACTAAAACACTTTAAAATGAAACTTAAAAGCTAAATGATTTTGAGATACAACATTATAAAAATATTTATCCTCTGGATTTAAAATCACTATTTCAAAATGCCATAATACCTTGTCACTTTGCTCCAGTGAAAAACTATCTAGCAAAAACAGAGATATTGCTTGAAGAAACAAGAGGTAGTGGCTGTACTCCCACATCATCATAAACATGTAGGTTGAAGCACTCATCAATAAGTAGCAAAACCTCTAGGGAAAACAAAAGAAAGAAACTAAATATCAGTAGCTTTATTACTATAAAAATCTATAAGGTTGTTACTTCAAAGTGGCAGCTCTGTTATTTAAGCTAATCTTGAAACTTCATTTTTAAATAACATAATTACTAGTAAATTCTTACATAAACAGTAAGATCTTAAAACACTCTAGGGAGAAATCAAAGTTCAACATCATATTGAGAATTTCAGGAAGACAAAGAAAAAAATAAAATAAAATTTAGTATAATTTTCTTTCATCTCCAAAGAGGTCAAGTAATAAATATAAGAAAACTGGCTTTGGCGGGCTTTTGTTATTGTGAAACTAATTCCTTTCACTCTAGAAAATCTTTTCACTTCCATGGTGCTTCATATCTTCCTAAGAGCTTCCATTTAATTAGTATGTTTACGTCTTACTCAGCCTATTGCACAGTTCATAGAAAAAGTCTATTGTTTTTTTCAATTTCTTCTCAGCATAAGTGTAGCCTTACCTTTCCCCAAGGCTTGTACTGTCAACCATATAAAATGCTTAGTTGTTTTCCTCTGCTGGAGAACTAAACACCAGGATTTCATTGCCCCTGCCTGAAATATGCCTGGCTAAAATCAATTCTGTCCTTCCAAATATCATCTCCCAAGTGATTCCTTAGTGAGAAACCAAGACTGTAAGAAACTTACTCTCCCTTAGCATATTTCTAACAACAGTCTCTAGTTCCAGGGATTTACTTTTTTATTCCCAATTCCTCCATCAGCAATGGTGTCAAGTAACTGTGGTTCTCTCATTAGAACAGTGAAGGACAAGGTCAAGATACCTACGATAAGAATCGTGTTCTCTAAAACTAAATTATTCAGACTCAGCTGACTATACTCAGTGATAAATTCCACAGCCAGAAATACCTCAGGTCATCAGCAGATAAAAGAAACTTCCAGCATCCTGAATAAGATTAAGACCAGTGGACAAAATATAAGTGATAAAAATTTTCTACCAGTTGGTCAAAGAATACCAACTGCAAGGCCCAGAAGAACTTAGCATTGTAGAACACATAAGCTTCTGCTCTTCCTATCACAATAGCTGTAAGAGAAAGTGTTCTGGAAACATTCTAATGTGAAACAATCAGAACTGTAATAACCAGTCCTGAAACCATCATCTCCAGAGAATCCAATTATAGAAACCAATGAAGGCTCAGATCTAGACCCAACCTACCTATTATTGGCCATTTGGAGAATACTTTGGGGATGCTGGAGAAGAGCTACATTATGATGAAACCTTTGCTAATTACACGGGTCTATTCTAAAACCACTTAATAGCATACAGTGAAAATAAGACAGAAATACATATCAAACACAATCTGGACAATTAGCTAAGTTTTTCATTTCTCTGAACATTTAAAAAATTCTGTCCACTCTTATCTACTACCCCTTACTTGCTCACTTCATTTTCAACTATGCCTTTATTATGAACCTTTTGTGTGTGTGTGTGTGTGTGTGTGTGTGTGTATGTGTGTATTTATATCTTAAGTGACACATTAAATGGGTTTCAGTAATCAACCACAGACATCTCTGGATGGCTCCTGATAACTGTGCAAAAGCTTGGATATCCTGATGCAACTGGGACCGTGATTTCTAGTTTCAAGAGTGCGAAATATGTGGTACATATTGCTGGACTACTACCCGGCAATAAAAGGAAGCAATCTATTGATACACGCGACATCTTGGATGGATATTAAAGGTATTAGGCTGAGAGAAAACAGCTAATCTTGAAGAATAACATAATATATAATTCCATTTATATAACCTTTCTAAGTGACAAAATTATAGTGATAGAGATCAGATCAGTGGTTGTCAGAGGTTAGGACTGAGGGAAAGACTACTAAGGAGAAACATAGGGAGTTTCTTTGTAGTGATGGAACAGTTCTACACCTTGATTATGATAATGGTTACTCAAATCTACACATGTGATAAAAATTCATATAACTGCCCTGGCTGGTGTAGCTCAGTTGGTTGGAGCATCATCCCGTACACCAAAAGGTGGTGAGTTTGATTCCTGGTCAGGGCACATACCAAGATTGCAGGTTCACTCCCTAGTCAGGGCACATATAAGAACCAACCAATGGACGCATAAATAAGTAGAACAACAAAATCAATGTTTGCCAGCCACCCCCTCTCTCTCCAAAATCAATTTAAAAAAATTTTCTTTTTAATACCAATGTAAAAAGTAGAATGAGCCCTGGCTGGATAGCTCAGTTGGTTAAGAGTGTTGTCCTGATACCACAAGGTTGTAGGTTTGATCCCTGATCAAGGCACATACAAGAATCAACCAATGAATGCATAAATAAATGGAAAAACAGTCCTGGCCTGTTTGGCTCAGTGGTTAGAGTGTCGGCCGCTGGTCCAGAGAGACCTGGGTTCAGTTCCCGCTAAGGGCATGTACCTCGGTTGCAGTTTGTCCCTAGCCCTGGTTGGTCGTGCGGGTGACAGCCACTTGATGTGTCCCTTTCACGTCGATGTTTCTCTCTCTCTTCCTCCCACTCTATCTGAACAAAAAAATGGAAAAAAATGTCCTCGGGTGAGGATAAAAAAATAAAATAAAAAAATAAAAATAAATGGAACAACAAATCGATGTTTCTTTCTCTCTCACAAATCAATTAAAATATATATTTTTAAATAAAAATAAAAAAGAGTAGAATGAGCCCTGGCCAAGTAGCTCAGTTGGTTGGAGCATCATCCCAATACGCCAAGGTTGCAGTTTCAATTCCCAGTCATTGCACATACAAGAATCAACCAGTGGCCCTAGCTGGTTCGGCTCAGCAGTTGGAATGTCAGTCCGCAGACCAGAGAGACCCAGGGTTCAGTTTCCACTAAGGGCATGTACCTCAGTTGCAGTTTGTCCGCGGCCCTGGCTGGGGTCGTGTGGGAGGCAGCCAGTCAATGTGTCTCTTTCACATCATTGTTTCTCTCTCTCTCTTCCTCTCTCCCCCGCTCTGGTTCTACCTGAATGCAAAAATGTCCTGGGGTGAAAAAAAAAATGTCCTCAGGTGAGAATTAAAAAAAAAAAGACCAACCAATGAATGCATAAGTGGAACAACAAATCAATGTTCCTCTCTCATGTTCCCTTCCTCTCTCTCTAAAATCAATAAATAATTTAAAAAAAAATTAAGTTATAATAAAAAAAATATTAGAAAGAATAAATATATAACACGGCAATGAAAAAAGATAGCAAAATATCAAATATAGTATAGAAGGGGAAAAGAAGTTTATACATTTCACTACCTTTTCAAAAACTCCTTCTTTTAAAATGAATAATAATGGCCCTGGCCGGTTTGGCTCAGCGGTTAAAGCATCAGCCTGTGGACCAGAGAGTCCTGGGTTCAGTTCCCACTAAGGACACGTACCTCAGTTGCAGTTCGTCCCTGGCCTTAGTTGGGGTCATGTGAGTGGCCAACACTCAATGTGTCTCTCTCACATCAATGTTTCTCTCTCTCTCTCTCTTCCTCCTTCTCTGCCTCCCACACTATCTGAAGATAAATGCAAAAATGTCCTCGGGTAAGGATAAAAATAAATAAATAAATAAATGTAAATAATAATAATTTTCTTTAAAAGATAATTAAATCAAATAAATAAATAAAAGATAATTAAATCATTTTTAGGCGACAAAAGTTTTGTTTTATTTCAAAATAATGGTATATAAAAGAAGTTCAGGCAGTTCATTTTGTTATAATAAACTCTTTTATTCAAAAATTGAAGATCTATTCTTCCCTAGGAGAAGGCTGCACAATGTAACAGGAGAACACTAAATCACAGACTCCCTAACAATTAAAGAAAATATTCTTGCTCAGAAAATTGTATAAACACAATAAAAGGGAACTTACAAATCTAAAATGTGTTAGTGTTATTTTACTTAAAAAGGAAATACTATAGTTATAAATAATAAAAGTTTCCTATGCTCAGAACATTTGTCATCACTGAAAGCAGGAGAGAACACAGTATATTTTTCTGAGATTTCAAAAAGAAACCATAAGTGTGTCTTATTTCCCAGCCAATCAGGTTCAATAGAAACCTTTCCAAGATTATTCTGAGACAGAGTCTGTAAGCTTCATCTGACTGCCAAATCAGTTTACAGCAACGACAACAAAAGAAAAAAAAATCAAAACTATCCGGCACAGTCTCCTGAAACTCACTAACCTACCTACACTTCAGTCATAGGAAACATAAAGGTAAACAGAAAAATATGCAGTGCTAGCATAGAAGTTAATATTGCTGTCATTTGTAGTCACTCTTTATATTTCATTAATATTTCTTTAAATTGTGATGACCAAAGGCCATCAGTGTTCTACAAGTGAGAGAAATGGTAAAATAACAATGAGATATTAATTTCTGAAATGATATTATTCATATACTTGTCAAGTAACTACACTAAAACAATGTAAAATCTACTTTCTCCTAAAAGTAATTTACTGTCAATCATATTGCAGAAAAACTGTTATTTATAACAAAACTACGTAACTATATCCTTTATTATGTAGTAACTAGGTTTCATTGAATTTAACTCAATATTATCTTTAAAATTATGTACTAGATTTGTAATATGTCAGAATCGTGAAAAATAAATTTTTATCTTACCCCCCAAAATTATTTGTATGGTTAATGAAAATAAATCACAACAACAAAAAATTGCATCTTACCTCTCCGTAAGTATTTAAATTGCTTTTCAAATAGCCTGTAAGTGCAGCAACTTGGCATGCAAAATACGGCAGTGCCCAGTTTTCTCTTAAAGGAATGGAGTATTCAATTCTTGTTGTATCTACCCTAAAATAAACCACAGATAAAGAGAAAAATAGCAAGACATTATATATATATATTTTTTATACCTCACCCGAGGATATTTTTCTACTTATTATCAGATAGAGTGGTAGGAAAGGAGAGAAACATCAATGTGAGAGAGACACATTGAGTGGGTGCCTCCCACACAACCCAATCAGGGATGGGGAGGAAGCACAACCGAGGTATGTGCCCTTGACCAGAACTGAACACATGACTCATTGGTTTGTGGGCAGATGCTCTAACCACTGAGCAAACTGGACAGGGTGCAAGACGTTATATTTGTGTAACACTACACTTTTCAAAGCACTTACGCACACATCTCATTGTTCTCCACAACAATCCTGTGACATAGGCACAGACAGAGCCAAACACTGCCCACACAGCATGTAGCAGTGTCTCACCCCCAGGAAGACTTAGAGCTGCTGTGCACTGCTTGATAAGTAGATGGTCCTCTGAGAGAATTTGAAAAAAGGCATCCTGGCAGACAGAGCCTCATGCTACATACAGCATAGCTCACTACAGAGTACACTGGATTTCAACCCAAACACTCCCTTCCCTTAACAAGATGGCTACCATTCTCTAGAGCACAATGTACACTACACATAATTAGCAGGCCTGACAGATGCAAGATTCTTTTCCCCCTTACATAAGAAATATAAAGTGTAGAGAGGTGATATGACAATCAAGTCATGTAACTAGTATGTAGCACAAATAGACTTACAATGTGTATCTTCTGATATCTAGTTTAATACTCTTTTCAATCAATAGGTTACCCAGAATTAACATTACAGGAGTCCCTTATGTGATATATCTAGAGACCTTTGAAATTCTCATAATCATAGATGCAGAATGTCTTTTTAACCTCTTCCTTAGTTTCTCAATCAATTTTCATAGAGAGCCTGTTTTCTCCTCTGGCAATCCTCACATCACGTGGAACTACCTTTCCAACAATCATTAAATTTAGATTTCATACTCTCAATGGTTATTTTCCACACACAAAAACAAAGATACTATTGTTTTAAAAACTTTCTTTAGCCCAGCTGGTGTGGCTCAGTGGACTGAGCATTGTTCCGTGGATTGGGAGGTTGGGGTACGATTCCCGAGTTGTGGGCTCGATCCCCAGTAGGGGCGTGCAGAAAGCAACTGATAGATGTATCTCTCTCACATTGATGTTTCTATCTCTCTCTCTCTTCCTCTCTCTCTAATATAATCAATAAAAACATTTAAAAAGTTAAACTTTCTGTAAACTGCTGCATAATTCTCCTAAGATGAACATGCTCACATGTAACTTAGTTCAATCAAATTTGGTATAGCCATACAATAATAGGACAGCAATTTTCAACCTTTTTCATCCTATGGCACACATAAGCTAATTACTAAAATTCTGTGGCACACCAAAAAACTTTTTTTTGCCAATCTGACAAAAAAAAAAAAAAAGGTGTAGTTTTGATTCATTCACACTGGATGGTTGTTGTGTTGACTGTTGTCATTCTTTTATTTATCAATCTAAGGAAAAAAAGGTCAGTGCACCTGACTAAACAGTCAGGTATTGCATGTTTTAAAAATTATTGCAGCCCAGCTGGTGTTGCTCAGGGCACTGAGCATCATCCTGTGCACCAAGAGGTTGCTGGTTCGATTGCCGGTCAGGGAACATGCCCAGGTTTCAAGCTCATTCCCAGTAGGGGGCATGCAGGAGGCAGCCAATGGATGTTTCTCTCTCATCGATGTTTCTCTCTCTCTCTCCCCTTCCTCTCGTTCTAAAATCAATAAAAACAGCCCGGGCCGATTTGGCTCAGCGGTTAGAGTGTCGGCCTGCGGTCCTGAGAGACCCGGGTTCGGTTCCCGCTAAGGGCACGTACCTTGGTTGCAGTTTGTCCCCGGCCCTGGTTGGTTGTGCGGGTGGCAGCCACTTGATGTGTTCCTTTCACATCGATGTTTCTCTCTCTCTCTCTCTCTCTGTTCCTCTCTCTCCCTCCCACTCTACCTGAACAAAAAATGGAAAAATGTCCTCGGGTGAGGATTAAAAAAAAATAAAATCAAAATAAAATCAATAAAAACATATATTTAAAAATAAATAAAAATAAAAATTGCAGCATACCCGTTGACAATCAATGTAATAGGATACTACTTATCAATAAAAAGAAATGAATTATTGATGCACCCAACATACATGAATCTTAAAATAATTACTGGCCTGGCCAGTATGGCTCAGTTGGGTGAGTGTCGTCCCATGCAGCAGGGGGCACAAAGAAACTTCTGGGGGTGATAGATGTTTATTATTTTGATTTTGTTGATGGTTTCACAAATATGTCTACATTTATCAAACTGTACACTTTAAATATGTATAGCTTATTCTATATCAATTATGCTTCAACAAAACTGTTAAAAAGCATTAGAAAACCTGTCTTCTATGAATATACAATTGAACATATATATCATATATATTTAAATCAGGATTACACATGAAGATTAAATAAAAGCTGTAAAAAGAATTTAGCACAGGGTGTAGAACCCAGTAATGGTATTAGATCTTGCTCTTTTATAATTCTTTTTGTTGTTGTTAACCTCACCTGAGCATATTTTTCAACTGATGTTTTGGATAGAAGGGAAGGGAGGGAGGGAGAGATAAACATCAATGTGAGAGACATATCGATTGGTTGCTTCCCATACAACCACGACCGGGGCCAGGAATCAAATCATTGACCCTTTGGTCAATGAGCCAACACTCTAAAAGCTGAGCCAAACTGGCCCCGGCTCTTTTAAAATTTTTTAATAAACTATTATTTATTTATTTATTTATTTATTTTGGTACATGCTCCTAGTGGGAACCGAACCCGGGACTCTCTGGTCCGCAGGCCGCCGCTCTAACCGCTGAGCCAAACCAGCCAGGGCAATAAACTATTTTTTACTAAAAAATATATTATTAGGAATTTTCCTTAATATATACATGTCAATATACTTCAAGAGCATTTAATGAATATGGCACACCATTGTATAAATCTATCAAAATCTAACCAATTTTTTACCCTGGCTGGTGTGGCTCAATTGGTTGAGCATCATCCCATGCACCAAAAGGTTGCTCGTTCAATTCCTGGTCAGGGCACATACATGAGTTGTGGGCTCAGTCCCCAGTAAGGGGTATGCAGGAGGCAGCAGATTGATGTTCCTCTCCCTCTCTCCCTTAGTCTCTCTAAAATCAATAAAAACATATTTTAAAAAAATCTAACCTTGCCTGGCCAGTGTGGCTCAGTGGTTGAGCATCAACGCATGCACCAGGTTGCCTGTTCAATTCCCAGTCAGGGTACATGCCCAGGTTGTGGGCCAACTCCCCAGTGAGGAGCATGCAAGAGGCGGCCAATTGATGTTCTCTTTCATCAATGTTTCTCTCTCTCTTTCCCCTTTGCCCTTCCTTTCTAAAAATCAATAAAAAAAAATTTTTTTTTTAATCTAACCAATTCCTCTGTTAAATACTTAACTTTGTTTGACTTTACCTATTACTAAGTTTTTAAATACTTGAACCAATGTTTTTGTATAGTAATCATTGGTTTCATTGTTTCCTTTAATCCATTTGGAATTTATTTTGGTATGAATGCAGTAAGTATTTCTTTTCCAAATTTGGTTGTTCTAATACTATTTATTGAATATCGTATATTCTAAAGGGCACCTATTTCATACATTATTATTTCTGAAAAATAGTTGCAAAAGTTAATTTTCTAAAAGACAAATGAGATACACGTCGTAGTCAGGAAGCAAGAATGAAGGATGACTGGTGTCAATTCAGGACTCTGCCAACCACTCCATCAGCCCAGAATTGGGAAACTTAACCTAGCAATCCCTGTTTCAAAGGCTCACTCACTGCTCCTAACCAACTCACAAATTAGTGCAGTGAAATCTTTAAAACTCTGCTCTAGAAACACTGTCTGGAGAAGGGACGAAGAGATCCTTCTCCTCTAGTCACTATAACACAAACTAAGTAGAATCTCTGCCAATTATTCTCTACCCCTGGACAAGCCTCCGCACTGCTACTTTCCTGAACACCTGTGCTACTCATTCTCTTTCCAGAAGGCTAACAGTAGGATCTGACAAAAGTAAATGAAACCCACTTTTTCTCCCCAGTGACAGAGTATAGCAGACAGCAGCACAAACCAGCAGTTCAAAATAATACTTGTTAGATCAAGTAGGGTTAATAGACCTGCAGATACATTCACAGAAATTGACATGTTCTGAGTTTAATTTTGTGTCTTCATTTTAAACAAACCATAGTATAAGCATACTCCGAATTACCTGGATGCCTATCTTATAACTCATTATTGCCAAAAGATTTCAGGACTCACTTCCATGTTTATATTAACAAAGCAGTTGGCAACACAGTACTACTTCAACTTGGATTAATCAGGAAAAAAAGAGAGACAACCTTATTACTAAATGCCACATTACCAAATAAAAATAATGTCCTTATCACTGCAGTAAAAAATGATTTTCTAGTGCATTGAACAAAGCAACATGATGAGAACTGAGTCATCTCACAGTATCCAACTGTGTAGGTTTCTCATATTCTTTCATTTTTTTTCCTTTATTGATTTTTTAGAGAGAGAAGAAGGGAGAGGGAGAGAGAGAGAGAAACATCGATGAGAGAAGAGAACATCGACTGGCCACCTCCTGCATGCCCCCCACTGGGGATGAGGCCCACAACCTGGGCATGTGCCCTGACCAGAAATCAAACCGGTGACCTCTTGATGCATGGGTCGATGCTCAACCACTGAACCACATCTGCTGGGCAGGTTTCTCATATTCAAAAGAATCTGCTGGCCCTGCCTGGTCTGGCTCAGCAGTTGAAGCATCGGCCTGCAGACCAGAGTCAAGGGATTGACTCTGGTCAAGGGCACATGCCTCAGTTGGAGTTCAATCCCCGGCCCTGGTCAGGGTTGTGTGGGAGGCAACCAATTGCTGCGTCTCTCATACATAAATGTCTCTCTCTCTCTCTC